CACTACTGGAACTTGGCCTGGCACTACTGGACCAAGCCAGTGCCTGTCACTACTAGACCAGGCTAGGGCCTTGCACCACCTGACTGGACCATTCGGCCTGTCACCACTGGACCAAAGAGGGGGTGGGGGCGCGGTTCATGTGTTACATCAAGTGTACACGTTCTCTGTGTGCACGTTTTTTAGTATTATAAGCTTATGATCCTTGTTTGTGTGGGTGTGTGTGCCATTGAGCTGTATGTATATGTGTGTGTGTGTGTGTGTGGGTGTGTGTGTGTGTGTGTGTGTGTGTGTGTGTGTGTGGTGTGTGTGTGTGTGTGTGTGTGTGTGTGTGTGTGTGTGTGTGTGTGTGTGTGTGTGTGTGTGTGTGTGTGTCATTGAGCTGTATGTATAATATGTGTGTGTGTTGTGTGTGTGTGTGTGTGTGTGTGTGTGTGTGTGTGTGTGTGTATTGAGCTGTATGTATATATATGTGTGTGTGTGTGTGTGTGTGTGTGTCCTTGTGTGTGTGTGTGTGTGTGTGTGTGTCCTCTTGAGCTGTATGTATATATGTGTGTGTGTGTGTGTGTGTGTGTAAAATATTGAGCTGTATGTGTGTGTGTGTGTGTGTGTGTGTGTGTGTGTGTGTGTGTAATAATAATAATAATAATAATTAACGGTTTATTGAAAAAGTTCTGCAGCCCGAAGGCTGAAAATATACATTGGACATAAATGACTTATTACATACATTGGTGGTTTAACAAAAGCTTCATTAGAGAAAGGTAAAGGAACATACAGTGAACATACAGATTAATGTAGGTGTTGAACAGCAAACGTAGTGTAGTAACCTCAAACAGATGGTGTTATGAGGGTAGTGTAGTAAACCCCCTCACAGATGGTGTTACCTCACGTGGTGTAGTAATTCAGATGGTGTGAGGGACGTGGTGTAGTACAGATGGTGTTATGACGTGGTGTAGTAATTTCTATGGTGTTATGAGGATGTAGGATCTCACAGATGGTGTTATTATGAGGGGCCTCACGTGGTGTGTAGTATGGTGTTCCTCACAGATGGTGTTGAGGGCCTCACGTGGTGTAGTAATTCACAGATGGTGTTATGAGGGGAGTGTAGTAACCGGTGTAGTAATTCCCTCACAGATGGTGTGATCACTATCCCTCACAGATGGTGTTATGAGGGGTGGTAGTCACCCAATCACAGATGGTGTTATGAGGGACATGGTGTAGTAATTCCTCACAGATGGTGTTATATGAGTGAGGTTTGGTCCCAGGCCTTCCTATCGTAGACGGATTAACACATCGCTGGGTTGTTGGGTCTCACGGGCCGTTATCAGGTACCTGGGACCTCACTGTGTGAAGGTAACTTGGGTACACTGTTACTTGAGTTGTTCTCACTGACTGTTCACCCTCTGTTTAACACTGGTTCCATTCCTTTCTAAATGAAATTGTAACTTCTGGCGAGAACTTGTTGATATTCCGGTGGGAGGAGGGTTCAGGGAGGAGTTGGTATGGGCCAACACAGTTGACCTGGCTGCCCGGAGAGAGCGCCAGGTACGTCTTGACCCCTCGGTGGTCAAGATGTGTGTGTGTGTGTGTGTGTGTGTGTGTGTGTGTGTGTGTGTGTGTGTGTGTGTGTGTGTGTGTGCCACAAGCTGTATGCGTGTATTTATGTATGTGTGTCTCTGAGCTGTATGTATATATGGGTGTGTGTGTGTGTGTGTGTGTATTTATGTATGTGTGTGTCCTGAGCTGTGTGTATATATGTGGGGTGTGTGTGTGTGTGTGTGTATTTATGTATGTGTGTGTCCTTCAGCTGTATGTATATATGTGTGTGTAAAGCCGTTGAGCTGTATGTATATATGTATGTATGTATATATATATATATATATATATATATATATATATATATATATATATATATATATATATATATATATATATATATATATATATATATATATATGTGTGTGTGTGTGTGTGTCAGTGTCATTGAGCTGTGTGTGTATCTCGATAACACTCTTCACATCCGTTCTCCAGGAAGGCACTTCCGGTCCCTCTCTTCTCGGATTCTCTCTCCCCGCTTCATTTCTTCTCACCTCACCTCACATACAGTATTCCCTTTTCACCCGCCATCCTCTTCTCCCTTCCCTCCTCCTCTCGCTCGCTCCATTGTTTACCAGGAACTGTCCTTCTTTGTTGACGTGGGTGTGGCTGCTTCCTCTTCACAGATCATACGGAGGGGCGGGAGGAGGTGGGTGATGGACGGAGGGGACAGGGGTAGTTAAGAGGGAGGGGTGGGGCGACGGAGGGGACAGGGGTGTGGGAGCAGTGAGGGAGGTGGTGATACTTGAGGACAGGGGGTAGTTAAGTGAGGAGGGGTGGGTGATGGACGGAGGGGACAGGGGGGTGAAGCAGCAGAGGGAGGTGGTGATGGACGGGAGGGACAGGGGGGGTGTAGTTAAGGAGGGAGGGGTGGTGGATGACGGAGGGACAGGGGGTTGCTGGAGAGAGGGGTGTGATGGATGGAGAGGACAGGGGGCAGCAGCAGGTAGATGGAGGGAGAGGGAGGGTGATAGAAGGAGGGATAAAAAGCATAAATGAGGCAGGTACGGTACGTCAGGTGGTATTAAAAGACCTTTGAACTAACTTAACTTACCCGCGTTAACACCAATGGCTTTAGTTTCTTAGGATGGAAAACATGGAAAGATAAGATGAAATATTCCCCTACCCTAAGGAACCTCAGGTAGACACACGTAAACAAACACACCTGAGTTCACACACTTCTGGTGACCATCTAATTCTATATAGGAATCCCTCACTTGCGAGAAACTTCTACCAGTCAGGTCAGGAAAAGTGGGATTGAGCTGACTTAAAAACAACTAGAAACCGTGAATTTTTTTTATCAGATGTAAAGATGTTTTTAAAAAGTGAATCGTTACGAAATACGTTGTAAAATTTGTTATAAAATAGTGTGAAAATATTCTTACGTACTGATATTGAACGAGAGGCATATGTTTACTTGGGAGTGTGTATAACGTATGTGTGTTCAACTCTGTGTATATATGTATGTTAACACAAATGGCCATGAATTTTCAGCAACCTATAAAAGAACAGTGTTTATGTGAACTCTTAGCCCCTTAAATGACCTTTATGGCCAGTGCTTTGTGATGTATTGAGGCGGTCTGCAGGTACACGGGTCAGATACTGCAGCCATTAGTGTATAGTGTTGTTGATGGGTGACACTATATCTGCAGTGCCTGGGTGATATGTGACACTATTGCTGCAGTGCCTGGGTGATATGTGACACTATAGCTGCAGTGCCTGGGTGATATGTGACACTATAGCTGCAGTGCCTGGGTGATATGTGACACTATAGCTGCAGTGCCTGGGTGATGTGACACCAGCTGCAGTGCCTGGGTGATATGTGACACTATAGCTGCAGTGCCTGGGTGATGTGACACCAGCTGCAGTGCCTGGGTGACAATGCTTATGTGACACCAGCTACAGCGCCTAGGAAACATGTGACACCAGCTGCAGTGCCTGGGAGATAAGTGACACCATCTGCAGTGCCTGGGTGATAAGTGACACCATCTGCAGTGCCTGGGTGATAAGTGACACCAGCTACAGCGTATGGAAGATACGTGACACCAGCTGCGGTACCTTAGAGACACATGAAACTAGCTGGAGATACGTGACACCAGCTACAGTGTCACGTGTCACCAGCTGTGGGAGGATGGTAACGGCAGAGGCAGAGAGGAACAGTGTAAGTACCATCCAGCTGGTGACAGGTGGCTACGTGTGAGTACCAGCTGTGCCACATGACTTTTTGAGGTGGAAAGGAGGAGGGAAGATATTTTTGAAAGAATTATATTTTCTAAAGAAGGAAAGCAGATATGTTGACAGAAGTAAATTAAAAAAAGATATTTAGATATTATATATATATTTTGAAAAGTATGAAGGAAGATGATTATTATTAAAGAAAGTACTGAAAGAATTGTCATAGTTAAAATACTCTAGTTTATAAAAAAAAATAGGTATCGTTACTTAGACATGGAATGGGTTCGTAATATCCCCTCTTGGTTCAGAGGTTCGCGGGTTCGGTAGTGGGATTCATACTTGATGTTTGTAGAGTAAGACGATCTGCCTGTGTTGTCTTGTGTGTTTTAGTGTCTTATTTAATCCCTTTCTTTTCAGGCTCTTAATATATTTAGCTTTTTAATTAGAAATATAGATTATATTTACCTATATTTGTCTTAGATAAATTCCTACTCGTAATACAACCCTGTGTGTATATACATATAAACATAGAATGAATATAATTTTTAAACTAGAATGACTTAATTTTTTAACTAGAAGAATATTAATTTTTAAGACGAATTGGACATCCGTCTCTCTTTCTCTCCCTCTCCCCCCCACTCTGTGCACACCCCATGTTACCCCTCCCCCCTCCCTCTAGCATGTGTTACGTCACTCACCACACACACCTAAAGCTCCTCACTCTGAGATCACGACAAGCAAAAAAAATAAATAATTGATTGGTTTAAGGGATTTTTTGTTTAATGGCGCTGGTTCGCCTCTCTAGACAAATGCGATGTTTTGCCCTTATAATGATTTTTCCCAGGACGAACGAGGATATTCACACAAGTTTAACCATTAATGAAAATACTGATATAATGAACGTTAGACTGGGTTAGGTTATAAGTGTAATGTCTGGTAGAACTTTTAAAACTGTGTCTTTTGGTCACTGACGGAGCAAAATGGAATTATCACTTAAATAAAATACGAATATCTATTACCTTTCTTTGGTATATCACTGATTGGCCAAACTATCAAACCTAAACCTGATTAGATTATATCGGTTGGATAATTTCTTAGCCATTTAATTGAGATGACCTTGTTCGTCCTCGGGAGGTAGGGGCGGCCTGTCGTTATTAAGGAGTGGTGGAGGTGGTTACTCCTGTATGGGACACGACTCCTCTATGCTATGTCCGGTACTTGTCACTTTGCAGGGTTGGCGACGACCGAAAACCCGAACTGTTATGCCCCGGGCAGCCAATCACAAGGCGAATGGGGGCGGGGCCACCAGCAACGGCTCCACCCCCTCCACGCCCATTGGTCAGAATCAACAAGTTTCAACCAATCAGACGCCTTCTTCGCCACCGGACATGCCGTCCACTAATAAAAATAAGAATAAAAAGGTGATGGGAGGTTGCTTACTGTCCCACTTGATGATGCATGTTGACTGTAGGTAGTCTCGAGTAATACCTTCTAGTAGAAATAGTAAAGGCAGCAGTAGTGCATGTCACAGCACCCAGTACCCTCTTTGCTTCCACTTTTTATCCTGCTTGTTTGTTGTGCCTCCAGGTGTTGACCATGGGTGACAGTTGGCTTATGCCCGACACTGCTTCACCCTCTAGTGGATGCCTCTCACTGCTTCACCCTCTAGTGGATGCCTCTTAACCTCATGCACAGTCTGCCTAGTGTGTGTGTAAACTAATCCTTGGAATTGTACTTTACGTCACAACAGAAAACGGAATGTAACAACTACTTAATTACTTCTCATAATAGCAGGAGAGAGTCATCACAGCACCACTGACCATCTGATTATCACGTACAGTAGATATGTGAGTTGTAAAACTATACACCACCACACCTGCGACACACACACACACACACTTGCTACACCTGTCCTTATACACTGACGGCACCTGTTAACCCGCCGGCCCCTTTGGCTGCTGCACCGGGAAGCGACATGGATTTGACTCCAACGTCCTCGACACGGTAACAAGGACCAGGTGACCATCCAGCCTTCATAACGTGGTTGGTTCCTGGACACTGGCTCCTTCATACTGTGGTCCCATCCCTACCGCACCTCACAGCCCTTCCCTGCCGCACCTCACAGCCCTTCCCTGCCGTACCTCACTACCTATTCCCACTCCACTCGGTCCGACTAATTACCCAAATGTAGCCGTAATGAAGTCAAATAATGGTCCTACATGAATAAATCGGGTTACCAATCACTTCTCGACTAGTATTTGGTGTCACAAAGTCAAAAAAAATTGGTAAACTTAATTTAATCTGAGTTGTGTTAGGTTAGGTTAGGTTAGGTTCGGTACATGCACTCGATCTATTAACTCAAATTAAATTACGTTTTCCAATTTTTTTTTTACTTCGTGACACCAAATACTAGTCGAGAAGTGATTGGTAACCCGATTTATACCTGAAGGACCATTATTTGACTTCATTGCGGCTACATTCGGGTAATTAATCGGACCCCCACTCCACTTGCCCATACCCTTCTACCCAATCTCATCCCGCTGCCATACCCTCTACTCTAAACCAATCACAGTCCGGCTATCGTACTATCTGTAGCTCTAAACCAATCACAGTCCGTTTAACATGAAGTCTGTAGCTCTAAACCAATCACACTCCGTTTAACATGAAGTCTGTAGCTCTAAACCAATCACACTCCGTTTAACATGAAGTCTGTAGCTCTAAACCAATCACACTCCGTTTAACATGAAGTCTGTAGCTCTAAACCAATCACAGTCCGGCTAACATGCAGACTGTAGTCATTATGTAAACTCTGGTCTTGGCCCCACTAAGTAAACTCTGGTCTTGGCCCCACTAAGTAAACTCTGGTCTTAGCCCCACTAAGTAAACTCTGGTCTTGGCCCCACTAAGTAAACTCTGGTCTTGGCCCCACTAAGTAAACTCTGATCTTGGCCCCACTAAGTAAACTCTGGTCTTGGCCCCACTAAGTAAACTCTGGTCTTGGCCCCACTAAGTAAACTATGCCAATAAACGCCGCTAATATGCTAAAAAGAGCTTCTGTTGCCTCATGTTGAATTATCCAGGTAAACTGTCTTCGGTGTTCAGAAATATTGTCTTAAATTATACTGTTATTATTAGTAGTATAATCTGTGAATGATGATAATTAGTAAAGTGAATAATGGTACAGTAATTAGTTATCTGAATGATGGTACAGTAATTAGTTATCTCTGAATGATGATGGTAAGAATTAGTTATCTGAATGATGGTAAGAATTAGTTATATCTGAATGATGATGGTAAGAATTAGTTATGTATGTATGATTGTAATTATTAATTTTTGGAATGATATATTTTCGAATGTATTTTTTTTTATTTGTATGTGATATTTTGGTATAATTTTACTTTCAGGTTTACGTATTTTATATTGAAACTTTCTCTTAAATGTTACGTGTTTCATAAGTTTGTGTTATTATGATGCATTTCTTTTCTACCCCAACAGATTTTGCATCATTTGTTAATTTCTGTAGTTTTACCACACAAGGAATTATTCTCCAACATTCTTCAGTGGTCGTCTTTGTCAATTATTCTGTTTTTAACCTAAGATATGAAAATTTTCCCCAACTTACGTATCCTGAAGCCCTCATGCAGGAAACAGTATTGTGTTTGGTGTCTTTATTAAGAAGTGTTTAATGTTACATTGTCATTTAGTAAGTCAGGTCTTGAGATTATTCACATCCGTTCTCACCTGACCAGACAACGGTATGTACTGTAGAGCTGAGAATATTGTAATTATTCACGGCGACGACCAGATGTTAGTTATATTAATAATTTCCAGTTACGTATGCAAAGGCGGCTAACTTAACCTACTATAACAGTATTGGTTTGGTGAAGTAAGGGTGCATAGGTAATGAAACACGGAGAGAGGAGAGACCACACAACGGAATTACCAGATGCCATGATCTTAAGCTTCCCAATCCTTGTCCGCACATGAAGCTTAGATAAAAATAACTTTACATTGTGCTTTGTGGACGTGTGGAGCAGCTTAACCCAGGCAGTTAATAACGTCACTAATCACAATGACCTTCAGCTACTGGGCGTTAAATACGTGTGGTAGACCCGCTGGCTCACAGTGTCATTGAGGAACACCAGAGAAGGGATTGAAGAGCTGGAGAATGGACTGAACTTTAGAAAGGCCTTTAGTGTTAACTGTTATATGTCAAGAGTAAAGCTAACTGTCAGTCAAGCAGTCACCAAATTTAAGAAGAAATATGGAATAGATACGACTTGCAAATAAAATGACTACAGACGTGAAAATTTATGTACAATTTTAGTTTGTTTAAATTTATAGCATGCTATCTAAAACGGTTTATATAAATTAATTTAATGATTGCTGACATAATATATTATCTAGATGCTGTATATTCAAGATGACAATGAAAGGACAAATTTGGTTTGCATTTGTGAGGTTGAAGCGCAGTAATTTAGTTATTTATTATTCAGTATATATATTTCTACCTCGTAACAGCCATTGGTACAGAAATCTGAATTTCCTGACACCATTTAAGAATAGTATTTTGCCTATTATGATTTAATAAAAAATAACCTGCAATTTGGAGACATTTGTTTGTTTTGCAGGTCGTCGACAGCTTAGGTCATTACGGCCGTCCTGGAATTTAAAGACCCTTTAATCCAAGTGAATTAAAAACAAAAACGATATAATGAAATAAATAGTGTTAACTAAAAGATACAATAAAGTGTTAGAAGAAAAATAAGTTTCATTATTAGGGAATATGCTGCCGCGTAAGTTCAAATTACACTTTTTTCTTCAGCTCCATTGTCTTGCACTAAAATTTTTCTTATATTTATATTTCCCTTCAAACAGAATAATGTACAGATCTGATGAAATTGAGTAATGGAGGTAGAACAGCACAAACACAAGGGGGCGTAAGGTAAAATTGTAGATGGACCCCTGGTTATTAGTATGAAATTGCTTATGAAACATTAATCGAGTTTTTCTGTAATTGTTTATAGTGGAAAAAGTAAGCATACACAAAATCGGTAAAACCTCTTATTTCCTTCGAGTTAATATTGACGAAATACCCGTTGCAGCGTAATTTGGTCTGGTGGATATTTTTTTACTTTATTTTAATCGCCGTGATCGGATATTATATTAATTTCTTGGGCAAATTCATTGTTTGGTAGATAATTTGGCCCCATGGCTTGCACTAACGGCACTTTGTTTTTGTGGCGATTAAACAGTAATATGGTCTGATCCAAGCTCGATTTTGTCCTCCGCTCAGTGCATGTTTACCCGAGCGGCTTCTCTCAAATTCGCAAAAAATAAATTTAATTACCCCATATCAAAGTAAGTCCTTTCTGTTAAATATGTCGTGGGGGGTCCCCCAGCTAGGAAGTTAGGTAAGGTTAAGTAGGTTTCTTTGGTTAGGTTTGTGCTATCTTCTAAGAATGCTTCGGCCCCTTGTGTTCCTTATCAACTAAGGTTAGGTCAGGTCTAGTTTAGAAATAACCCCATTTTAAGACATTTGCCCAAACTACGACAGTGTCCACTGCAAAACACAATGAAATTGCGGTGTTTTTAAATTCATTTTCTATGAAAAATCGGCGTCGGGGACATCATCAATAATTACCGATAGCTAAATGCTTTCTTGCCTCATGAAAATTCCCTAAATTATTATTTATGATATATTCCTCCTGAACATGGTAATACTTGACTAAGGTTGCCACCTGAACCAGCAGCTTGAGGCATTATTCATTATAAGCTGAATACTTTCTTACCTGGTGAGAAGTACAAAAAGGTGAATGAAACTGTTTCGTAATGAAGTGCAAATAATAATTTTGGTATTTATACCAAATTTCTGCACTGACTAACCGATCCCGGATAATATTGACGACTGACCCCTGGACATGGTATTTGTGTTGATGTTTATTTTCGTACTATATTTTCATCAGTGAGTTGTAATATGATAATCATTTCTTGTACAAATGCTTTGTTTGGTCGATAATTAGGCACCTAGGTGGACACTAGCTTGTCTTCTCAGCGGTAATGCAGCGGTGACGTCATCCCAGGATGTAATAAATATAATGGTTGCCCCTCGTGTGATGAGGATGGCCACCAAGGCGTGAATTTGTTTAAGGTGTAGAAACTGTCGCCAACACAATAACCATTCTCTAAGTTAACGAGCTCAGTGACCCAGTGTCGAGGAATAGCCTGAGAAGACCGGACAATTCGCCAACTGCAACGGGTAACCATTACCCCGGAACACGATCCACAAATCGATTAACATCCAGGTCCCCAATTACTGGTTGGTAGACAGAGGCAAATGGCATAAAGAAACTTGACCTTGGTTTCACCTTGCCTGGGAATTTAACCCGGGTCCTCTCGCTTCCAAGGCGAGCATGCTGACCATTACACCACAGGTCTCCACCAGGATGTAAACAGCCAATCATATGACGTACTGTATTTCAAAACACTCCGCCGCCGGGGGCCAGATCGACTCCGATGCTCAGTGTATGCTAATGAGCCATTCGGAAGGTAAGTTTGTTAGGTTAGGTTGGTGAGGTCTGATAACAATGCTTCTGCTGCTTGATTTTCTTATCAACTAAGGTTAGGTTTAATTTAATTTAGAAATAACCACTTTTTAACACCTTTGCACAAACTACAACAGTGTCCACTATAAAACATAGTGAAATTGCAGTGTTTTTATAATCGTTTTCTATGAAATATCGGTCGCGGGTCAATCGTCAATAATTATCCCAATCCCTTTGGTGACGAGAATCGGGTGCAAAAAGTGAAACCATTATTTGAACCCGAGTTATCGACACTATTATAGAATATTATAAGAATTTTGCATGGACAAAACTCAGCTGCAGATAACAGTTTCACTCTCTCTTAAACAAACTAATAATAAGTAGGCTAGGTAGGTTTCTTTGATTAGGTTTGTTAGGTACCATATATCAAAGTAAGTTTTTCTGCCTAAAATGGCAGAGGGTACGGGGCGCGGAGCCCCACGAATAGGGAGTTAGGTAAGGTTAAGTTGGGTTAGGTTCTGTACCAAATATCAAAGTAATTTCTACTGTACCTTATTGTACTGTATATTAATGGGAAATGAGCGGTTTTGGTATTTCTTTGCCTTACAACATAAATGCCATACTAGTGTTCTGGTGTGAACCATGTTCGAGCATGTCCTGTGTATGGATTGTGTGGTTTTGTAAGTTCCTGTAGTATGATGGGGGTACATTAATCCCTTTACAAATGCTGTACAGTAATCAGGTACAATAATTCATGTATTGTATTGTACAGTATAAATAACGGGGTACATTCATCTGTGTACATATAATGGGATGCAACAGTCCATGTACAGAATTGATGGGTTATATTAATGGTTGAGCAAAACTGATGGGTTGAATTAAGCAGTGGGAAGCAATATGACTGTGGCTGTGTTTTGTTTCTCTGTTAGACTCCCCAAACTGGTCTTAATGCTTGTGTTCTCATCAGTACTCTGTCCAATCATCATTCTTGGCAAAGTTTGGAACATAATGTAGATGCAACGAAGAAGAAAAAATGAAGCCAAACAGTTGTGATGGATAGTGTTTGATCTTCCAGGGATGTGTAGACACAGACTGCTAGTTGTGATTAAATGGAGATTCAGAATTTGCTGTAATATTTGTGGTACATTATTTGGATAATGGAATCTTATATTTATTGATGGATTTGGTTATGCACCTACACGTATTGTCTTCGTCATTTGTCAGCATATTAGCCTAGCTGTCCAGTGCAGGTGATTACTGACTTTTCCATCTCTCTTTGTCAGCACGTACTGGATATGTAGCTCTTGATTGTGCCTGAACATGTATCTGTACTAGTTAATTTACAAACAGTATTTCATGCAATTAAAATGTTTTTTATTATTATTTTATTAAAACTATATTTTTTCATCATATCAACAGAGCTCTAGAAATCCTTTTATACAAGAGATCAAGACATAAAAGGAGGCCTAGCATATGCACAGAGGCATAAACAGATGTCTGAATGGTATTAGATGGTATTTGAAAATTTCCAGTGCTTAAGACACTAATTGGATGTCTTTGTTTTCACAGGAGAAGGAAGCCAACAAGAAGAAAGGCCGCTCAAAAGAAGGTAATGAACAAATCTTCTCTGATGAATCTTACTGGAGTATTGTGAGTTATTTTTGCACACTACACACACACACACTGCTTGCACACTGACTGGGTGCACAGTTGCAATAATGAGCTTTCCACACATCAGTATACTGTACCATTGAAGCTTTTTTTTGTAATTTCTCAACTGTTTTGTAAAAATTTGATCTCAAATACTAAAGTCCCCACATACTGTATTATTTATGTATTTAGTAAATATGTACTGTATAGTTACACAATACAGTTGTACCCCACTTAACGCGGTCAATAGAACCCAGAGGGTCCCGCGTTAAGTGAACAACAGAACATACGGGATTAATTCCAATAGAAACCAGCCCGACCCCCAAACTCCACTTTTTGAAGACATAACTATGTTGTAGTAAAAATAACATCTTAATTTTATGATGGTACATGCACACAATTAATACTTAAGAGAATTAGAGAAATACAGTCGCCAAGTTAATGTTCATTCAAATAATGGACTCAACTCCCTCCCCCTCTTCTCACACTACACTGCTGGCTCTTCCCTCTCTGAGAAATTTTTGGGGGAAAACCACTAAATTTTAATAAATTATACCTCAAACTAAAGTTAGGATAATACAATTGACATTGCTGGATTCCTTGTAAGACCAGGAATATTTTGAATATATATGTCATATATTTTGCACAAAAGATAACATATTTACTCAGAGAAAACATTTTATCTAAAATTTGTATGTCTAATGCAAAATATATGATGTTTATATTCAAAATGATCACCAAATTATAAGAATTCCAGCAATGTAAATTATATTCTGGCCGGGTAATTTGTATGAATTTTATGAGCTAAAACAGGCAGTCAGGCAGGGTGGCGGGTGGGGCAAATCTAAAAATAGCGTTTCCAGCCGGACACTCACCGCGTATATGTGGAAAAAATTCGTGTTAAGTGAAAGTTCAGCTCTGGCGAGGCACTGCGTATATGAAAAAACGCGTTAAGTGAAACCGCGTTAGGCGGGGTAATACTGTATACATAAACATTATCTAAGTGTGTACAGTACTTATTGTATATAGATTTGGGCCATTTTTTGAAGCTGAACACACATTCTTTATGATATTTATGGTAATTAAGTTAATGTTAGTTAATGATGTAAGCAATGTCACACATATAGCTATAGATTAATTGACACAAAGTACCATATGTTAAAGAACTTACCTTAATTGGTTTAAGGAATTTTAAGTTTATCTTTGGGGTGCCATGGAAGTTTCTTTACTCACAATTCAGTTTATTATCCTATAGGTGGGGCTCTGTGAAATTCTTTATTGAAGTTCCAGAAAGCTTGCTTCTAGTGCTCCAAGGAACCATTGTGTAATGTCCTAAGGACCCAACCTGGGGGGTTCCAGGGAAGTTACACAAGTGGTTTCTGAAAGTCTTATAAGGATATTTTAGGAAATCTACCATATGAATCTATTAGAACCTGCTCATAGGGTTCCAGGAAACTTTTCTTGGAATTTCCTGCAGCTTCTCTAAATGTTTCATGAAGTTTACTTTTGGAATTCCTGGATGCCTGGAAATCAGATTCCAGGGAACCTTTCCTTAGAGTTCCATGGGGCCTATCTGTCAGATTCCAAGAAACCTACATGTAGGGTGCTCAGAGGCATACTTATGGGGCTCTAGGAAAGTATTCTCTGGAGGTTCTATTATTACATGAAGACCACTTTGACTCAATTCCAATTATATCACTTGAGATACCTTACCAACACATTGTAGAGGCCCTAAGGTCCATAATGAACCTTAAAACACCTACCTAATTTTTATACAGGTATCCAATATTGATCTACAGTTGTTCTTCACTGTATGTTGATTGTCTCATGGTACTCATGAGGTTAATTACTAATTGACGTATGCAGGTTAAAGTTATTATCAATATTCTACATCTTTACTCAGCCAATTAAATAGGATATTATTGCTGATGCTTACACTTTATAAACTCCACTCATAACGACCAGCAGCATTTAATGTTAGCTATGTGGTCTTGAAATAAATTCCTCCTCTGTTATGTAATAGAATCTCCTACAGTTTCTATCCTTTGCTGTCACTTCTGCCACTTCTATACCTTTTAGTGGTCAAATTACCAGTTCTGCCATACCCTCTGCAACTATTTTTTTCATAATACAGTAGTACCTGTAGATGTTGTTAACACCGTATTAGATTTCTTGTATCATTCCCTGCTCCCTTTACTTATGGCGTCCCTAGTTGTAGTGTTGACTTATCCTTACTTTGATGATGAACAAGCACCACATGGACACTTCTCTCAACTATCTTCACATAGTATTCATTAAGTGTGTTTCCTGTCATTACAGTCGTCTCTTCGCTTAACCTTTACTGTCACTTTAAACAAAAATTATTTATTGCTTTTTTTTTCATCTTATAAATAGACTTTCTGGACACTACAATAGAGTCAGCTATCCACTTGGTAACCAATTTAAGTGGCTCACTAAGAAATGGATTTAATTTTAATATACAGTATAAATGGTGCCAACATTTTTATAGTGTGGAATCGTACACATGATCTAATTTTAACAACTATAAATGATGCCAACATTTTTATAATTTGGGATATTACACATAACTTTTTTTTTATAAGATAAATAAGTAGAGCAGTTTCTTTGCCTTGAAGGGGAGCTATCCTCTTGGACCCTCCATTATGGCCAGCTCTCTGCACATAACTTTCAGATTTTTGCACCTAACCTGCACACTCCAGCCTACAGTATTTGCACTTTCAATATTTGGCTTATGGTTGATATTTTTAAAGAGAACTTTACTTCCAGAGAGCAAGTGGAAGCCCAGAGAAACATAAACTATTCTTATTTATATTTTGTGCATAAACAAACACTGTTCTCTGTTTTAGGCTGATGTATATTTTGATGGTATGAGGTAGGTGCCATTAGTGAAAAGACCGCATAGATCTCAGGATGCTATTTTATTTTAATTGATATTGGTAAAGCACATACAATCAGATTGTCTATGACTAACTGAAGCACCCCTTCCCTCCCTTATTGCACAATGGTGGTGGTTGTACTCATCTTGTGACACCACCTGGGGGTGAGTCTCAGTCCGCTGGTGCATGTCTTGCCTGACTGTCTGATGTGTGCGTAGCTACTTGGAACGAGACAATTACTGACTGCCTGTGTATGACAGACTCTTGAGATAACTTCCTATTTCCCTTAGTGTTGTATAGAGTAGCTACACTACCTAAATATTTCCTTATGCATTATTACTGTGTTGAAGATAGGATAGTTACTTGTTAACTTTTTAGCTATGTAATTTACTTTGGGTGAATGGACATTACTGTACTTTCTAGATTAATGGAGTTTGTGATGAAGGGGTTTTAAAAGAAAAAGTACTGCACACCTTTAATTGCCATTTTTAGCATGACTTATCTGTTTTTGTGTAAGGGGGAACTGTTTTTCTGGTAACTGGTCAGATGGGCCCCAGTCTAACAGTTCGGATTAGTGCCCAATCCTAAATGTCCCTTATGGTTAGGTTAAATAGAGGTTTTTAGGACTGGTTCCTATATGACCTGAAACCTTTTGGATTGGTTACCATACATAGTCCCTAATGTTATAGCTTTTGTCTATTTAGCTCGTCTTGATTTTTTAATACCCGGTGCATAGAATCTCTTCTAAACTTTATAACTTTTGATCAAACTGAAATTTGATGTTCGATAATGAATGTTACATTTTTTTGTATTAATTTTTATGCCGTTTTGGATAAGGAATGAATGACTTTTGCAGTTAGTGTTCCATGTTGCCTGAAATAATATAATGTATCTTTATATGTTAGAATGGTGGACCAGAAGTAGAATTTATTCACATCATAACTACGCTGGTATGTTTGTTCCCTTGTAGATGACTTGACAGTAAAAAAATTAATATTCTGATCATGAGTCCACAGGCATGGGTTCTGTCCTGTTAATCTGTTAATCATCAGGAAGGCAACTCATATTTTATGTCATAAGGGAAGGGGGGGGGGGATGTTCAATTCCCCTTTCCTCCCCTTGAAAACCATGTACCAGTACAGTACAGTACTGTACTGTATAGAAAATCAGACACTGCTGATATCATCTAAAAGCTCAAGACAATAGGATTTAATTGGGATCAAATTTTACCCAGAGAATTTCAATGTCAAACTTGATTGCCATTTTATTATGACCCCCCACCCCAAAAAAAAAGGACCAAAAGTTTTAGGATACATTTTGCTGTCAACTTAACTATGCTGGATATGTTCATATTGTCTTGCCAAACATAGAGGCTCTCAGCCATATGATTTAGGCTGTTTTAAGTTTGGTCTCTTTGTATATGTAGAGGAAAGCACACCTTGAGCACACACTTAATACACCATGTGAACAAACTGCCAACTGGAAATATGAGAGAGCCTGTTGAAACTACTTTTAGTGTCCTGAATGAATGGGTACACAGCGTATGTGACATTAATGGGTTCGTGCCACGGTCATTATGTATGCAGCCACTTCATTAAAAGATGTGTTTTTGCAAATTAACACGGTACTGTACTGGGAAAATTATGCTGCTTTTTTTCTAGGATGTACTATAATTGATCAATTAAATTTCGTTTGAACTGTACTGCATAAAATATTTAAACTATATATACAGTACATATATAAAAAAGATTTTTTCGGTAATATTTTGCTTTGAATGATATTTTAGAATGGGGGCATATGTCCACCATTGTGCATGGTTGTAGTGTACAATATTGCATGTATCCTAGAGCTTGTTAATCCTGGCTAGCTTTACACATGCATAAAGAATTAATAAATAATAAACCCCAGCATACTGCTGCGTGGCCACTGGGTTAGTTAAGAGCCTTCAGTTCAGGGTTTTCACCTGAACTGGACATCAGCCAAACAGTTTCAGCCGATGTTTCCGATTATACATAAAATTCCTGGAATAAAATGTTCATTTATGCCCGTAGAAATTTTATAGCAACCTTTGATAATCTCTAAACATGTATGTATGTACCTCATCTCTTAAAGGTACTGTAAGTTGGTCTGTCTATTTAATGATTTACAATGGGTAAGCCACAGCCTCCTTGAGCTCTAGCCTTTTCTAATCCTCTTTGGGTCTTCTACCAAAACACACAGCCCAGTGTAAGGTAACCAGTGAATTCGACGTAGAGCTATGAAGTGATACAGTAAGCCTTTGATTGAAGCAAGGAATACACCCTTGAAAACCTTTGTGTATATTGAATTTGCATAAATAAATCTGGGAATAGGGTGATGTATTCCTGAAAAAAAGTTATACAGCTCCTCCCCGACTTATGACGGGGTTAGGGATCCAAATCCAGGTCGTAAGTCGAAATGGTTTTAAGTCGAAAATGCTTAAATAATACAGTACATAGAAAATCTAAAATGGGTGTCTCTTTTTCTTCTCAGCACCACAAAACTCTCACTTTTAAGCTTGCCAGCCATTTTAAAGTGAATTACAAACGAAAATTTTGTCAGTACACAGCGCAATCACTGACGTTGGGACTCGAAAATACGTAATTTGACAAAATTTTGGTACGACTGAGGCAGGTCGTAAGTCGGGGAGGAGCTTTATATATATGTATGTATGTATGTATGTATGTATGAATGAATGTATGTACACACACACACCGTGTTTTCTTCTTTCCTTGTGGTTATCAGCATATACCTAGATCATGCGCACCTACAGTGATTTACTTGCATATATATATATATATATATTAAGGTCTTCAGTCATAGAGATATGTTATTCCAGCTCACACACTAATGTACCCTACTTTATACTTAATAATTAAAGTGCCTTCAAACATAATTGTACAGTACTGAAATTGAGGTGAATACAATATTGTACACAAGAATTCTAGGATGTACAGATGATGATACATGGTGGGCAGTGTACAAATGAAGATAGAATATGAGAAGTGGAATGTTTCAGATATCTGGGAGTGTACTGTATTTGCTAGCAATGGAATGACAAGTGATGAACCACAGGGTAGTGAAAAAAGGAAAATACAGTAGTGGGCAAACTGAAAACTGTGTCAAAGGAGGCTAAGAAAGGAAAATACTGTACACTCGCTCCAAAAAGTATCTTTATGATTTTGTGTTAGACAATGACACAATGGACGGAGGATTTTGACAACCTTATCGCAACAGTAGGATTCATAGTACTTGTACTGTACTCTTTTATTTATTCACTGGATCCCTCTGTAAAGATATTTTATGGAGTTTGTGTACTGGGGAATTGTTGATTCAACACAGTATGGATTTGAAGTATGAATCTTGGGAGCAAGAAGGGGGAGCAAATTATATATGGCAGAACATTTGTGCTTGAGCATTATGTGGGGTACATAGGATGCAGAGAATACGAAGGAAATGTGGAGGAAAGAATTTTCAGGCAGAAGAATGGAAAGTGAAAGATTGCTGAACATGTGTTGTGTGAAGCAGTAGGAAAAATTGGAGAGGAACCTTGTTGTGAAAAGGAAGTATCATTGAAGGGAAAGTGTGTTTGTATCCTTGTTTTCAACCGCATTATATTAAGTGAGAAATGGCTTTAAAAGGATGTATACACTACTGTTTTCAGGAATTTGTAGTGCCATTAAGAGAGCATAGGAGAGAACTCGCACATACCAAAACTCATTTATACAGTACTCCCAGACCGGTACTCTTTTGAACTCCCTGCCATTATGTGTTCTTCGAATGTTATATTATCTCCATCATCTAAAACATCCTGCTGTGTTCAGTCCTGGGCAAGGGGAGATACTTTGGTGAATGAATGGGACAGTGACAGTGGACCACGACCCTATACAGTATTTAAATTTATTAATAAACAAATAGAACTTGCATTAATGAAGGATTTACTGTACACTCTAATGTCCTACTCAGATCTTATCAGCAAGAAGAGAGGCATTGAAAGTTAGGGTTTTTCTCCCTCTTGTAACACAAATGTACAGTACTTGGTGTAAACAAATATCATACCGTACTGTATTACCGGTATGGTAAAGAATTTATCTGTACAAGCAGGTTTTTAAGATAACAATAATAGTGATAAAGGCAGTTTTTATTGATTAGGAGTACTGTACCAGACATGCTGTGTCTAGTTATTAAGTATACAGTACTGTAGTTTAGTAACTAGGTGACAAAAATAAAGAATGTATTTTAATACAAATGATATTTGAAGATGATGAAAGTACTGTACAGTATTCAGTAACTGTTACTGATCAACTGTCATCTTGAAACTTAAACTGTACAAAAAAAATCCCAGTCTTTTAGTCAATTTTAGTTATGAATGTTCCTGTACAGTTAGGCAATATGAATATCAGTCCTTGGTCATTAACGTTAATATTACTAATACGTTAACAGTCTTGCAAGACCAGAAAGCACCGAGTGTGCTGTACTGTACTGCAGTGGATGCATGTTAAGAACACGTCGGTGATTATATTTTCCTGGAAACACCTTTGATAACTAAGTAATACTGTATACAGTAAAGGTATTATAATTAAAATGGTTGAATGCATCATTGCGATGTTTTCTTGTGTGGATATTTTCAATAAATTTTTTAACCGTTGCATGAGTTTTTTTGGTGCCTGTTTGTTACATCAAGGGCCGTATTCTCAAAGGGACTACTGTCCAGTACAGTACAGGTACAGGGTCCTGTATGTTGAATTTTCCCTGTAACTGGAAGAGTGAGAACAATGTACTGCACCTAATGTAAGCTACAATGGCATCAGCATGGCATGGAGAATTTATCTTGACTAGGTACATTTTTGTATACTGTACATATCTAAGTACTGTGGTGGAAGAAAATTTACATATGAGTGTTTGAGAATCTAATCCTAGGTTTACAATAATGTTGTAGATTGGTGTGTGTAACAAGACAGTGTAAAGTTCTGTTATCCAGCTCCTCTAATGGCAGAAAATTAAATATTTGGAGACCTTTTGAGATGCAGTAATTTGGTAACCTTGGTGAACTTGGAAATTTTTTTTTTCCTTTTTAATGTATAACAAATTGAATTCATTATACTTGTGAACACTGAACCTCAGATTAGGTATTTTCATACAGTAATCTTAGTACAGTATTGTTGACTGTTGAAGGAATACCTTGTACAGGAGTAAGAAACAAGTACTGTATGGTATTGATTTATATTAGCTTGTGCAAGTCTCGTCATTGTTCCTCTCTTGCATGTTCTCTTCTGTTTTGTTGGGTAGCCAGTATCTATTTAACTCAGTGTTTTGACATCTTTTGGGGGCATGTTTCTTAACTAGTCTTACATATTGAGTCTAGGTAGTTTTGCAATACAGTATATAGAATCTTGAAGAAGCCTTGTCCTCAAGAATTTTTAGTGTAATTTGTGGATATAGAAAGGCTCCTGTTTCTGTTTGCCGGTACTTCACACAGCCCAGTTTTAACATGGGTGAAATGTTCCTTTAAGTTTTTATGGTACCATCAGTAAATATGGGGAAGTACTGTATATACCTGTACTGCACTGTAACTCTTAGGCATCTTTTACACAAGTTTTATTTTATTTTTGTGGCATGGAAAATCATTGGTGTTCAATGGACGTCTGTGTGAAAGGTCCCATTGAAGTCCGTTGATTTCTCAGTCGTCACTTGACAAAAAAAACCCACTTGTGTGAAGGAAGCTTTGTCCTTCTCAGTAACTTTAGAATGACTTTGTGAATCAAGCAGAAATCTGTTGAATAACTTTTTATCAAGAATATCTATACAAAATTTTATAATCATCTATTTTCCTTCTTCTTTTCCTGAAGTTATGGCCCCTGTGTGACATGGAAATTTTGCCAATTATATTACATGTAGCTATTGGTGCCAGTAATTTTTTAACTTTTTACATTTTATTTCAGATTAGTAATTGGATAGGAGTTAAAACAAAACCATTCTTACTTTTATTTACATGTCATTCAATCCAGTTTCCCCATTTATTGATATTGTATTGTTATTTTTATTAAACCTGACAGCCATTGAGGCTTTTGGAAGACTTAACAAGCTTAAAGGTCCAATCCTGTAATCTAATATTTATTTTGCCTCCAACATCTTGCCTGACTACACTGAAATACAATGAGATACTGATGTTAACTCATATTGGTATCACATGGTTAAATAAAATTCCCCGCATGTATATTTAAACAATTTATTAAATAATTTAACAGCTTATTATAAGACCTAACGCCTAATGATAATGGAAATAAAACTGAGTAGATATTGAGTTAAAGATGTACCTAATTATTTACATACAGAAAAGGATCCTCATGATTATCATGAATGGTATTATTTCATGCTATAACCCTCTTAACTTAAAACCCATTTGTGATGAAATTGTTTATGAGTAAACCTTTCCATATTATATCTGAAGTTGTACTTGTGATATTAGTTACAGGAATCTAAAATATTCAATGTATATTTGCTTCTGCAGTGATGATTCACGAACCTGCAGTGTTGATCGAAGGCGTCCTATTTCGTGCACGTTACCTCGGGTCAACACAGCTCGTGTCAGAAGGTCAACCCACCAAGACCACCCGGATGATGCAGGCTGAAGAGGCAGTTTCTCGCATCAAGGTAAGTTTAAAGGAAATGGATATGTTAACAGGTAGGGTGCTGGTGTGGTGATGGTGTTTGTCAATGAATTTTTGAGATTTATAAATACTGTATATGTACTATGCTGCTGTAGAGGCAGTGTGTTTGCTCATGATGAAGTGACTCCTTCCTTACAGTATTATATCCTGGTTTATGAATACTCTGAAGGTAAGTTATCTTGCATGGAGATTGTTGACAGAAGTAATTATATTTATTAAATACTCTGGATGATTAAAAACTTTGCTAAGAGGTTTTCAAAGGAAGCGAATTTTCTTGACAATCTTATTTACGGTACAGTATATTTTTGTAAATTTTTCTTCTGTGGAATTGGTCACTTTTATTTATTTTTTCCATTTCTCTAAAAAGTGCTATATAATTAAAGCTTACAAATAGTTTAAAAATGTTTTCTCTCCATGCAAACCTTTTAGACATAGTACAGGGTGTCTTGAAAGTCCCCATACTCAAAGTTTGGCAATTTATAGTAGTTTAACGTGGCACATGCTGGCAACGTTGCAGAAGATTGCTGAGTAATGTACTGGTCACAAACTCTGGTGTCACTACTGACCACTGCTCGGTTCTTGGTGCGTCTTTCATACTTCCTGTGTCACGAAAACGTTTCACCAGTTCATAAACAGTAGCCTTACGTGGTGTCGAGCTATCGGGGAATCTCCTAAAGATTTAAACACACAGTTGATAGGATTTGCACTAAAGTACGCCTCCGACAGAGCGACCCCCTGTGCCGGCGGAAGACTCAATGTCGACTGATTCACACTTCCGTCCCTCTGCCCACTCGTGCGCGAAGTCACGTGACCAGTACATTACTTGGCAATCTTCTGCGACGTTGCCAGCATGTGCCACGTGAAACCATGGATGGCTATCAATAGCCATTAAACTACTATAAATTGCCAAACTTTTTGTATGGGGGCTTTTGAGACACCCTGTATATAGAATAACACATATTGTACTCAGTCTTTGAGAGTGAGACCCTGTTTATTAAACATTCACCTGAAACTGTTCAAGACAAGGACTAACTGGTAGTGACAGGGGATGATGATAAATGATTTTACTGTGAAATGAAATTATATATGCCGCAGTGTCCACGGTACACCAAGAAAGACGCGGGTGTACCCCTCTGTGTGTCGGCTATTATGTCTGTATGTGTGCGTATGTGTGAGCTTGCAGATTGAGGAATAAGCTTTATTTGTGATACATTATTGATGGAGTTGCATTCATTGAATTTATGTTCTTTTTAAAGAAAGTGTGTTTTGAAATGTTAACGGTTTCACTCATACTGTACTTTCTGTGATGGAATGTCACTTTTGGACTGGTTGTTAAGTGAAAATATTAACATTTGTTTTAAGCATATTAAAATACGTACTGTAATTTCAAAGTGTTTGAGTGTATATACAGGTGTGTGTATATACTGTACTGTATATAATGTGCGTGTGTAATAGTACACATATATTATTCCCCGTCTCAAATGACTGTAACTCCGACCATGTTGTACTTGTTACCGATTCATTATTGTTGTGTTGAATGTAATTACTTTTTTTTTCTATTGATTGGAATTGGATGCTTGAAGGTGAATTTTGCCTATTCTCATTGGTTACTGTGTACTGTACTGTAGTGGCATTCAGCCAGAGCCAGCAAATTTGAGTGGGGGTTTCTGTATCTTAATTGCAACCTTGATTCTCTGACACCCTTATCTTCATCCCACCTTGTGTAACTAATACCACAAGGATTTATAACAAGATAAAGTAGGAAACTCGCTTTTTTTTTGTCGAGTTACCAGATATTTTTTATTTACAGTCATGAGAATTTTTGGTAGTCATTTCCCCCTTTTTCTCCTCCATGGGAGTAAATAATATCCTACAACATTATTTTGGTCTTAAAGTTTTCCACAAATCTGCCCTTGATTGTGTTGATGTCTTGTTAGGTGGGAAAAGATAATCTACCCTGCATGAATGTTTCTTGTGACACTGTGTTACCACATCATCATCTGTTGTGATAACTCCTGAGAGCCACTGTTACACACCCAAAGGTTTTAATATTAGCATAAAACTTTTCTTCATGTGCAAAATAACCTGAGTAACTGTGTGTGTCCAGATTCACTGTCAAGGTGTTTCCCTAAATTGTATCATGTGATTAGTTATGCAATTGGTTAAACCTTGAACACCCATATGTATTCAAACGTGAAATCTTGCTGTAGTTACCCCCTCGTAGACGACTTGACCCGAGGCTCATCTGATCTGCCATTGTTGTTACAGTTTTGCATGATTTTTTTTCCTTTTTGTTATTTGGCAGGGTTGGGTGAGGCTGTTATTATTAACTTACAAACTTATCACATGACTGAGGAACTGATACCTTGACTATTTATGACTTATTCAAGATTATGCATGATACCAGAATAATTTTTTCCATTGTCTCGACATGATAAAAGATAGGTGTCCTGAGTAATCAAGATTTTGCCAAGATTGATCATAAATAGAATATTGGTATACCTATATCATATATTTGTATATTGTACATTGCAAACTGATGTGTCTAGCATCACACCTTGAAGCCACTAGTTGCTTTTTTTGCACATATTAACAAATGGAAGATTAAGTACTATTGCATTGAGGGAAAATTACCAACAATGAGGATGGTGATAATTGCTCACTCGGCTGTTATTCATCTTTCATTGCTTTTACTTTATCTATTCTCTTGATTTGGGGGTACGGTAGTTCACTGGTTTCAAATGTGTACAAAAAAAATTCATTTACTAACCTCATAGAGGGAGTTATTTATGCTGTACAAGCATGGACTGGTCTGACCATGGGAACATTCTCGCATGTATCGGTGGTGACAGTCATAAAATGTTCTCGATACCTAACATGAGATCAGTTATCAGATCTGAGTAAATGATATGTCTGTGGTTATGACCTTAAAATAAGTTTTATAAGATGGGTAACACAGTGGACATAGAAACTATGCCAGTGTTTTTCTTATTCATTTATTCTGCTTACCAGGCAGTGTTAATGTCTGTTTTGGTTGGTTATTATTCTTGAATAATTTTATTGTATTGTCATTATCATCAAAGACTACAGTTTTGATAGTTATAATTGTCATGTCATTCCCAAAGTCCTTGGTTCCGTGCTGGCTAACGTCGCTGCATGTGTGTCATTTGCTGCAACGTGTTACAGTAACTAGCTTTTTGAAAGAGGGTAATTTGACCTCCCTTTCAGACCTTGTGTTACATTTTGGCTGAGTCCTATAAAGCCATCTTTATCAATAAGCCCAAGGCTTTATCTTAAAGTTGCTAATTGATTATTAAGGTCTGCATCTTGTTCATGTGTTTGGTTATTTATTTTATTTTGCCTTGCTTAAAAAAATATATGATTTCACCTGTCCCATTGTGTTCCAAGAGATATGTACCAAGTCCCCAGTTACCCCCTCCTCAACAGTAGATGCAGTAATAACTCTTATAATAAAATTGATTCATCCTGCCATAAGTAATATACAATTTGTTATTATGAAGCTGTTTCCAAACATGTTAAGAATTACTTTACCCCCTAAAGTTACCTCTCAACTGTTCTTAATTAATGATGATTCTCGCTACCTAGAGAGTGTTTACAGTAGCTAGAGAACCAACCAAAACAACATTCCCCTGTCAGGATGCAGATGATGATAAGGAAGCGCTGGCGGAATGTAACGACCCAGAGCCATCCCCAGGGCCCCCACACTCCCCAAGCCCCAAACATTCACCTCTCCCCCATCACTCTCCTACTTCTCTGCATTCATCAAGGGAGTCAGACTCTCCCAATGGCTTTGATTCGCCCAGGGAACTTTCACCCAGAGGTCAAAATTCACCAAGAAACTTGAATTCTCCTAGAGGACCCAAATCCAGGTCCCTTGCCTCTCCCATGGCTCAAGAATCACTTGCTGTTTCACCCCGAGTTGTCCATTCCCCACGGCGAGGACATGGCTACCCCCACACTCCTGATAACCAACCTGTTCACAATACTTCATGGAAACCCTTACACAGGATGAACCAAGGGGTGCCTGCCTGTCCCTACATGGCAGAAGTAAATATGGTGCATTCTAATGTTCCTCTTGTAGCTCCATTACCCCCTGGAATGTTAGAAGAACCAATTGACACTCAGGATGACATGATCACTGTCATAGAACCAAGGGAAGAACCATTAAATGTGATTGGGGATGATGATGACTATGAAGAGGAAGAAGAGGAGGAGGAGGTTGAAGAGGAGGAGGAGGAAGATGAAGAAGAAGAAGAAGAGGATGAGAGAGAAGAGCAGCGAAAAGTTATTAGAGCAGAGGATGAAGAGGAGGAAGATGATGATGAGGAGGAGGAGGATGATGATGATGATGATGAGGATGAAGATGATGATGGAGAGGGAGGTAAAAATGTTAGTCTTGACAGTGAAGACCAGTGCATTGAGGTCCTTACAGTTATCCCAGGAACAAGTGGGACAACACAGGAGAATAGGGAGGAAGAGCTGGAGGTTGATGGAGGCGGAGGTAACTTGGACTGGGTCTCGGAGGAGGGTGGGGGACCAGGGCTGGGGCCGGCTGGCACTGTGTTTCACCTCCGTCTGGTGGGGTCGGTGGATGTAGCGGAGGAGTCAGGTAAAGCACCTGCCCGGAAGACAACTACATGTAAGCGGCCCAAGAAGGATATGGTTATGGAAGCTGTTTCGCATCTAAAGGTGGGTCTTGACGTGACTGGATAATACACACACTTCGTATTGATAGAAATCTAGTCAATGAAATCTCATAAATATCGATGTTTTTTTTTTTTTTTTTTGGTAAAGGAACACAATAATTTTAAAAAATGTGAAACTAATAAGCTCATACCATTTTTTCCCAATTTTTATCTGAAGTTCTTTATTAAATTAGTCATATCATAAGAGAAGATCTGGAGAAAGAAGCCAATTGATTGAAGCTCACTCCCTGAATAGAAAAGTTAAGAAAGGATATCATGACCAAACACATTATTGAATTAGTAAAATATAATAATATTTTATTTCAAACTTAAAAGCTTGGCTGCATATTAAAATAATTTTTTTCCTGATTTTTTCCCATAAAGCATTTTTCCCGTTTTATGCAGGGTGGCTGGAAATAAGCAAATACATTTTTGTTTTAGTTATTGTCATTCGTTCTTACTGCTATAAAAGATGTGTTGCGCTCACCTTCGTCACGACCCCTAAATTTGGTTTACTATCTTGCTTCACACAAGTTAGTATGTACGTATAGCATATCTCTTCCCCCAAATGCACTTGTCACCAAGATACACACACACACACACACACACACACCCACCCTCCCTCTTTATCTTACATGTCCATCCCCCTCCCCTTACCTGCAGTACATCCTACTTCACATCATTCCCATCTTTATCTTGGTCTGCACTACTCCCTCCTACAACCCACCTTTGGCCTATACACAGTTTTACCATTCTTAAAGACATTCATACCACCTGGACACACCATAACCTTTTTCTCAGTCCACATGTCTCAGTTTTGTATCTCTGGAGAACCTCATTTTTGTTCCTTAGTATATTCTCCTTCCTCTTGCTTTCTCAGGCCTTACCTAACACCCAAACAATACCACCAGCTCGGTAATACTTATGAACGTTCCTATCTTTGGCTCCTTAATCTTGGTTCTCCCTCTCTCCCCATAAATTACACAATCCACTTTTATATTTCATTCCACTTATATTTCTCAGTCTACTAACATTTCTCATTCCACTTATATTTCTCAGTCTACTAACATTTCTCATTCCACTTATATTTCTCAGTCTACTTATATTTTTCATTCCACTTATATTTCAGTCCATTTATATTTCTCTAATCACTCATATTTCTCGGTCCACTTCCTCCTGTCAGGCTAACATATTTATTTCTACTCCTCTCCTTTCTCTTCTTCACATTCCTTAACTCCCTCCTAGTTTACACACTTCCAGATTCATTAAATTAGCATTAAAGTACTGAATAACTATCTATCTGTTAGTCTATCTATCTATCTATCTATCAATCATTTGTAACTTTTTCTCATCATCCTTTAGTGCAGTATCAACAGCCGACTTGGCCACCAATCAAACATCCCTTACTCACCTCACACTACCAAACACCCTTACCCTCTCCATCATCATCACATTACAACCACCTACAGTCCTACCAGTTTCTCTCCTCTCTTTATGTCCTGTCATAGTGAAAATAGAAACTAAATCATCATCTTCTTTTCAAAATTTATACAATATACGTACAGTACAGGGAAATCCAGGCATAGTTCCCATGATGTCATAACCACTTCAGGACTTTATATAATTATTTTATACCTGTAATTATCTCTTGTCACAGTTATATTAAGATCAGTTGATGTTTTATTATAATTGAGGAAGCATCAGTATGGTTAAAACTAATCCCCCAAAAAAAAAAAAAAAAAAAATATATATATATATATATATATATATATATATATATATATATATATATATATATATATATATATATATATATATATATATATATATATATATATATATATATATATATATATTGTATTGGAAAATTTTAAAAGAAAGGGGAGATAGTCTATTGTTTTGGATTTTTTTAATACAATGTAAATTACTGGTTATGAAAAACATTCACGGGGAAAAATGTAACACATTCCATTCCAAATTATTATATAGTACAATACAGTACTACCTCTTTCTCTCAGATATTACAGTGAAATCTCTACTTAACGGACTACATGGAGAGGAAAGTCGGTTATATCGAGGGTCCGTTAGATGTGAAACCTCCGCCTAATGAACTATATACAGTAGAGGGTCTTTTGGATGTGACCCCCCCCCCCCCTCTTCTAAAGGCTTAGTGTATGGGGAGACAAGTCTGTTATATGGAGGTTTTACTGTATATGCTGAGTAGCAAAGGTTATATATTCAACACACTGTACCATCTCCACAAATCAGCTATTTTTTAGACATAAGACAAACAGTATTCTTAACACAAACTATCTTACTTTATTGTACCACTTGCCGTTTCATCTGTTAAAATCTTAATACTTTTCATCAAAGTTAACAAATCATTTCAGTACATTTGTAATACAGTATATTTGCTAAATCTCTTTTGTAAAGACCTTGCTGTACATTATAATAATTGATTTATGGCCTTCAGGTCATTCAGGCATTCAAGTGACCTGTGAGATTCCCTCCTATTGGACAAACTATGACAGAATAGGCCCTGTCCTTAGCACCAGACTTGCATACTTTGGCAGGGTCATTATGCTGTATGAATCAGTGCAAAGGCTACATTAACAGCTGCATGTCAGGTAATTTGGTGGTTAACAAAGACAGAACCTCACCAGGATCCAGCAATGTTTAGAAAGAGTGCAAGTCAGTGGGACAATCCCTGAAAGTGATTCATATGACTAGGATCCTAAGTAACAAACTGTGATCTCAAACTTCAACCATATTTTTCTTTGGCACAGTGTCAGTACATATGACCTACATTTTAATGTGCTCCTTACATAATTTAACAAAGTGATTTCTGTTTTTTCATTTGGTTAACAATGTAATCTTGCACCTCAAGTATTTGTTTATGAATACACTAGACTTATGTTAAGTGGTGTTTAATGGCTATTTTATAATGTGTGATGAATCTTGAGCAGTCTCTGTCGTGTTGGGAAGTTCTTAATCCTAGTCCTCTTTACACTGAGGTGTGTGCTATCCTTTGGGTTCATTGGTTGGTGCTCATGATGCTTTATTTGATTCCTTGATTCCTTTTTAGTTAATCTGGAATCTTGTAGTCACTTGATCATTGACCAGTGAGTCACAAAGCAAAAATTTATCATTGAAATCCCATTTTATTGTTGAGGGGAGAAGTCAAGTTACCTGAATTCTTTTCTCCTTCCTTCCCTTAGTGGATTTTCATAATAGCAGGAAAAATAAGAATGTTGAACTTTTGAGACCCAAGTTACAGCTGGGGGTCTCACATGAATTGACTTCAAGGAATCATCCTGGTGATCACTATCTTGCATGCTTTTCAAAGCACAGCTGGATCATGGTTATGAATATGCCCATACAAATGACTGATTTTCCTTTTGAGTAGCTGTTATGAAGCTTCAGCTCTGATCAGTGTAGAAAAGACTGTCCTGGGAATTAACAAAGGCTGGTTCCTCCAGGGGAAGTGCTGTACGAGGGAAACTAACAGGTCATGATTTTTCTCCTTGACCATGAAATGGGATTTTCAAGTCCAATCCTGCTTTATTTGTCAGTGGAGGGACTTTTTTTTTTTTTTTTTTTTTTTTTATTGGCATCATTTGACATCATTTCCTCGTGACTTTGGCAGTATCCTGTTAAGTAGGGTGGGATGTCTCTTTGCCCATTAAGGTAAAATTAAGCACAATTAAAGTACTACCATATTGATTTATCTTTGGACCTCAAATTGACAGGGTTGAGAATTATTATATTGTATAAGCATCTATAGCTTACAGGTATTTTGCAGTCCTGTATATTATTAAAAAAAAGTTTGCAATTACATAGATATCCAAATTTTTGGTAATGAAAAATTGACATACTGTATAGTACATGGCAGTTCAAGAGGTGTTTTTTTTTTTAGAAGACTTAGAAGACAGAGGTACTGTACTGCAATGACATGGCAGTAGTGATGCTGTGGTCATATCTTGTAATAAAATGAGGAATCTTAATATCTGAATGATAGTAGATGGGTTTGCCTTGTACATAAAGAACTGTTGGGTAGGTAGTGAATGAAAGATATTACCGTATGTATAAGGTGCAATGAAAAAAATGAGTGGGAAGATGTGTGTTTATTTTCATTTTTTTTTTAATAATGGCGTGTTGAGGATATGCACAAGATTACCAAGTGTAAATGTGCGGTTACTGACTGAAGAATTAAAAGAAGCTGTATACTGTATGTACTGTAATAAATTAAGAAAAACTGAAGTTGAAGCTTGAGTTGATAGACAAAATGGTTTGACTAAGAAAGATACATTGCACTGTGTCTGCTGTTAACATTTTAGGCAATGAGCATAAATGTGTGACCATACAAAAAGGTCTAACTGTGAATATGGTGGTTCTAATTCTCACAGCAGGAGTGACATGGGGGAGGTAGAACTGTGTAGTAGGTTTTTAAACTTCCAACCTTGATATTATTTATAATTGTGATGAGAAAAGAGGAATAAATTAGCATTTTGGTAGTGATGGTTCCAAGGCAGATCTGTATTCATCCATTTATCAACATGAAAACGAGAAGCTTGTGTTTGAATTCACATCTGCTTACTACTGATACCATAAACATTTAGTCTATCTTCTGTAAACTAACTCTCAAAAGTACTGATAGCTAATGATGTGTTCTCAGTTTCTGGGTGGAGTGTGATGTGTTTCTTTTCAATTTTAAATGGTACTTCTTATGTGTCATTAAAGTGTAATGTTTTTGCATTTATATAAAAAAGGCTAATCCTAAAAGCTATTTTGTGGTAGATTTTAGTGATACATGGTCATTGGTGCTGAGAGGAAATGTTTGCAAAAGTTTAAAAAAATTCTGGGAGCTTTTTAGATCCAACTACAGTACTCATGTTTTTATTTCATGTTATTTTGGTTAGTGCATTTTTATGGTAGTTTGTTGTTCATGGTGTTACATTTGCAAACTTTTTATTGCTCAGTGATGTATCATAAATGTTACCTGTAGTTATAGCTGATAACTGGCATATATAATTAATTACATGTTTTAAAATGCACTAACCTAATATATCTGTTCTTCCCTTGGCTGCTGCGGTGTAGGCATTGGTAAGTGGCTGTTAGAGTTGCATAATGATTGCCATGTTGCAGTGAGTACTCTTCCATACAGTATATGGATTAACTACCCAACATGTTCCTATAATTTAACCTTTAGCCAATCAGATGTAACACTTGAAGAATTATGAGACTATCTGATAAGCAGTGTCAATTTTTTTTTTCTTGACCCTTATGTGTTTCTGATAAAAACCTGAGTGTGGCATTGGGGTCACATAAATATTAGGTCATGATTATCTCTTGTCTTTTGAAGAATGGAACATTTGGTTAGAAAACTCATATGTTGTTAAAGAGTCATGGCTGTTTGAGAATTTGGCAACTACTGTACTGTTTAGTAATACTGTTAAGCTTTCTCAGAGTGTAACGTGTATAGTGAGCGCTGAGGCACTTGTAGCATGTTGATATAGCACCATATTTATTTCTTTTTCTCATTTTATCTCTCCCTCCCTTTTTTCTGAAGCAGTTGAGTAAAATTGCTACATTATTAAAAGAAGAAGTTAATTTCCGTGAATGCTAAAAAGCACTGGATTTTATTTTGTGAATGTTGACTTTATTATACCCTGCCCAGGCGATTAACAAGAGGATCAGAATTTTAATATACCGTTTCATCCATTTGTCCTCTTAATTAATGTTGCTGTAGGATTTTCACAGGAAGCACAGACCGTGGATGTGTGGATGCCTATTATTTTTTTAATACTTATTCTCACCAGTCATATATACCCACTGCTAACTTTCCACTCCAAAGTCCCATTACCACTGTTTGTAGCACAGAAGGATGTGCCCCCAATCTCTGTGTACATTATTTTCCTCAATTCCATACATAATTACTGAAATAATTTTACTCCATTTGTACTCCTATGAATCCCAAGTTTTTCCAATTCTGCTGTATAAGACAGTTGAATATTAAAAAAATTAAACATAAATTTTTAGCTTTTAATCATAATATACCTGTATATTTACTGTATATAACATATAAATGCCTGTTTTATTTGATGTGAGAAACATTTAGACCTTCAAGCACAAATTTTCAACTTGGCACTGCATGTAGTTTTAAGCTATACATAAGATTCTGTATTTGGTAACATTGCTCATGTTATATAGACTCCCCTCTGTAGAATGTAGCCCAATACCCCTGTACATGTTTTTGTTTCACACACACGAAGTATCTCTGTCTTAGCTCACACTGACACGTTTGGTTAAGTTTCATTTTGTAGCTGATAGTCAATATCACAACTGCATATTTAGTATAGTTTCTTTGTTATAGAAATAATCCACACACATGCACATGCTTTCAGACACTTGCACATATTGTATATTTAGTACTGTACTGTACTGTACTGTATTTTATTATTATTATTATTATTATTTTGTTTACCGGTATATGCTCACACATTTTAACCTTCATTAGTTGTCATTCATCCATTCGTGTTGCTGTGAAAGATTTGTTTTACTTTGACATTCCTCTTTCACAACAATGCCCTAATTCTGGTTGCTTCATATATGCCATCAGCAGCACATCCCCCCCCCCCTCTCTTAACCAATCACTAGATGACGTGCTCTGTGTTCCTTCCTTCATTCACATTGTCCATGTCTCTTCCTTCTGGTGCACTCTCTGTCCCAGTCTATCACTTCTCATCCTCTCAATTCACTCAAATCAGTTGAGCAGACCCTGATCTTTTCTTCCCAAACCCTTCTTCGTTTTCTCCCTGTATCTTAAATTCTTTCTTCTGCACTCCTGTTAATCTTTCAAAATACTCTCAACTCCGATAATAATGTCAGCTTAAAATCCCTTGAACGTTTCAATCTTTAATTCCTTTGACTTAGTTCTCTCTTTCTCTTCTGTCTTCTCTTTCTCCATGGTCTCCTCAGTTAACCAATTTATTACTTTGTATTTTCTTTGTTTCTGCTACTAAAGGTTACTTCAATATTCATTTCATTGTTCCATTAGCTGACACTTGCACTCTTCCCATACATCTGAACCACTCCACCACCGCCTCTAATATTTCTCCATTAAGTTAAGATTCATTTCTCCCCATCTCCCTTCTCATCCTATTTTCAACACTTTCATTTTCCTCACATTCACTATCAACTTTCTTTTAGTACACCCACTTGCAAATTCATAGAACTTGTAATATATCTAACTTTTATTCAGATTTATCCACTGGAGTGGGTGCTGCTAACTCACTTCTAATCATTCCTTATCAATAGTCAACAAACTTGCAATTCTCTCCATAACATTCATGTATAATTAATTTTTCCTTATGGTATTTTAGAGTTTTTAGTACTTCACTTTACTCAAATACATTATATTAATTATAGAAGCCTTTCTTGTGACCAAAAAGTTGTTTAAGTGTGTAGTGAAAATAGAAAAAATAAGACTTTGATGTCTGATTAACGGAGAACAATGTAGACTTACGCGGATAACCGCATTGTACCATATACAGTATACTATACTGTACCAGCTATCAGCTGAAGGAGTAATGAATGCAGTTTCCAGCATGTAGTGTGCTAACCATCAGGGCTCTAAGCAGTTTTAATCTCTTGATAATCCAGAAATGTTTTGATGAACTTCAGTTATGAGAAGTTCCTCTCTGCAGCAGCCACTGTCATGATCTGTGATAGCAAGTCAGGCAAATTTTGAATTCCTTGTTTTTCTGCTCCTAAAGGATACAGTACCTCCTTTTGGACAACCTGATGAAGCTGTTTCAATAATTGGGGTGAATCACCAAGTCTGGTAACCCTGCATGGAGCAAGTTGTGTTCTTGTCAGTATATTACAAACATTATTCTTCTGTTTACATTCCTGAGTACAATGAGGTCTCTTGAGATTTCTCTACTTGCCCCAGCACAAGAACTGCCAGTTTGTTGTTTCTTGAAAAGTGTTCCAGTGGTATTCAAACTCATAAAAGGAAAGGAAGCTTGATTATAGGGTTGAGTATACATTAGTAATACTGCTCAGTCTGGGCTTGAGAAAACAGACCAAATTTTGAAGGTCTTGGTATTTATTGTTGATCATAAGTGAGTTTAGAGCTGCCCCGTATATATACAATAATTATGTAAGGTTGTTTCTGGTGCCTCCCCATAGCACTTCTACCATCAGTAGGTTGAGCTGATTATATTGCAAGCCATTTAAAAGCTGAAATGGAATAAGTTTTGTCATGGGTGGTCTCAAGTGGTTTAACTATACAGCTGGTTTCACTTGGTAATTGTTGTACATTTTAAACTTTTGTATATATAAAAAAAATTTATTAGTAGACTTGGGTAAATCTTTATGGACACAAGAAAGACATTTATAAGCAAAATATTTTTTACCTGATTCAATATTTTTCTTTTCTTTTCACATAATATGACCACTTGTGATGTAGTGTGAAAGTAAACTCATCATACTGTACTTGTTTCCACTAGTTATATACTGTATACATTAATGTTTTATATTGAAATGAATTGTGTGGTAATTTGTTTTCAGTCAAACAATTTATTTTTTTATATACACGAGGCATTGTTATACATAATTAATATTATTAGAAATCATGTATCAGAAATTTTGAATTCTATCCATTTTTGTCATCATTCTTTAGGCTTTATACAGTATTGTTATGTGTGGTGTGATTAATTTTGCCCAATTGACACAGGCCCCAGATGGTGAGTCACAACCTAGCACAGAAGTGGACCTCTTTATCTCAACAGAAAAGATTATGGTGCTCAACACTGATCTAAAAGTTAGTGCCCTTATTATTTTCTCCAACATCTCTGGCTATCTGTTGTTTACTGATAATAATTAAAATCTAGAACAAAGTGATTACATTTTTAAAGTGTTTTACAAAGTTTATTGGATGTCTTCAATAATAAATACAGTGTAAAGAATGACTTAGTGTGTATTTTTAATTATTAGTGAATATTCTTTTATGTATGCTTGTGTGTGTGTGTGTATTAGTCATACATTTGGCTTAATAGATAATGCAACACTTGCGTTCGACCTCGCCAAAACATACACGAAATATATTTTTAAGTTGTCTTTCATAAAAGCTATGACCTAGTGCATAGGGTTCATTAACCCTGACTGTTGAAATGTTTGGAAAACTACAATAACACCTAAAATTCATTTTTGTTAAGTCATTGCCAGTGAAACGAAGTGAATTGAAACTTACATGTATCTGGAAGACTTGAACATAATTCACTTCACTGGCAAGGTTGATTTGTCACCAAGTCATCCATTTTTGTTCACTCTACTTTGTTCACACACAGTTGTACTCCACAGTGTGGAGTTTTATTGTTATTCTTCTGACATACCCAGTCTGATATACTCCAGGACAGAAACAGTTCTTTGCTAACTTAACCCATCTGTTTCTCCTTCATATACTCTCAGCTGCTCTACTGTTATGAGAACTTTGCCTTCAGGCAGATTATAACAGTTAAATGAACTAAGGCTCTTTTTAAGTCTTCTTCATTTTTTCCTTCATTGCAGTTAAATACTTTTTCAACATTATTGTATATTTGTTTAATATTTCTTACCTTTGTTTCTCTTTGTGAATCAGATGTACAGTCACTCACAAAAGTCGTGTCGCCTCTCCTCCTGAACCACAAACTTGTGAATCTTAAGCATTTATGGACAGAATGATGCATCAGTGTCTATTGCTTTGGGTATACAATTCTGAGTCTTGGGGCTCGTTGTTCAGGAGGAGAGGTGAAAGGCTGGTATTTCCAGCCACCAAAAAAAAAGGTAACTATTACTGTAGCAAAGATTTACCCACATTCTCTTATCTCTGTTCCTATTGTTTGTCTCTCCAGGAGATAATGATGGATCATGCCCTTCGTACTATCTCCTATATTGCTGATATTGGAGACCTGGTTGTCCTAATGGCACGGAGGAGAGTCTTGCCCACTGATGATGCTGGTAACAACATTCAGAAAGCCCCCAAGATGATCTGTCATGTATTTGAGAGTGATGAGGTATGTTCTATATAGCTCTGTTGTGATGGCTCTCATAACTAATTATTTATAAAGTTTGTTTAAGCTATGGTAGTTCACTTGGTGACTTCGGTGCAAGAAGAGCGGATAGAAATTTTTTACATTTTGAAGGTGCCGGTAATTGTATCGGGATGCTAAGTGTACGGTGGAGTCTCAATAATTCGTGGGTTAGTTACTAGAAGACATTTGCCCATAAACTGTTCCAAAACTGCTTTAATAAACACTAAATATTGTATATAATACCTAAAAAAAAATGCAGTAACACATAGGTATTGTACAAAAAACTAGCACTTTATTACATAATCATCCTGTGGGTTACACCAATACAAAAATGTCCAGACAGGCAGGCGTAGAGCTGGCTGTGATTGCACTATGTAAACAATGAGCCAGGAATTTAATACCATGCAATATCTCATCTGGGGTTGAGTAGAATTTTGGGGGGAAATTTGATTACTGTACATGTGCTTTAACTTATGTTTTATTAATCCGATACCAAATGAACCAATAAATAGGAATTCTGGTGAAAATGTATAATGTTATATAAAGGAAGTCGGATGGGTGCCAATCACTCCAGAATAGGGGAGGGGGGGGGGTAGTCTACCATACCAACCACACACAAATCAATCTCACTTTTCATTTTTCTTATTTTATAATTTTATTAGCGCTTTGAAGTGATATTTGTTATATTTTTGTATTCCTAAGTCAAATGAGCATTGAAATTATATTTTCACAACTTTTATGGTTTCTCATGTAAATAATTGATAACCGCGGTAACATTATGAGATGTTCTTATTATCACCATGCTATTGTACTATTCAAGATGTTACTAAATGTTACATAATACTTCCTTGAGATAAATGTATAGTATATATCAGGTGCCAGAAAGAGAGCTCAGGTTCTCAACTGGCTCAGCCATGTTAATATTGTTATTATTATCCACTCTGTATCTTTGTTTTTTCTGGTCCAAATTATGAATATTTGACTGCAAAAAAAAAGAAAAAAGGGGAGTAATAGAGGTACCCACAAATTTAAGAATGCAAATTATCACGACTCCACTGTACTTGAATATTGTAAGTAATAGTACTGAAATACAGTAAAACCTCACCAACTCGGACTAATTGGGGGAAAGGGCAGTCCGAGAAGGTCACTTTTCCAAGTTGGCCGGACCCCAACCTAGGTCCAAGATCCAAGGGCAATTAAATTTGAGAAAGGAGGATGACTCCAAGTACAACCTGGGTTTGAGAATCTAAGGACAATAGTCTGAGATGGAAGGGAAAATCTGCATCAAGTACTTTAACCCTTTGGCTGTGGGAGGTTACCCTAAGCTGAATAAAATCGTCTGGCAATAGCCAGAATAAAATGGCAAGTGCGGGAAATGCAGCGAAAGGGTTAAGAGATTTCTATTTAGAGAACAAGACCTAGATACAATCTTAACTGGCAATTTTTTTATAGAAAAGTGATAAAAATATTCACCAGCTGATCACGTGGACACAGCGGCCATATCACGTGTTCTGATGCGGTTAATTATGTATTAGAATATAAATAAGAGGATAATTAGTGAAACGGAAATAATAAATTGTTTAATGAGAAAGGGTAAGATAAACAATGAATAAAACTAACCTTAAAGTTATGATGTACAAATACAATGAGACTGTTGATGGATGTGACACATTGACCTTGACTGCAGATCCACATCATTTTCACTAAACATCCACATTAATGCCATATTACTTTACTAAACATCCACACTATTCCACTAAACATTTACATCATATCCACTTCAAATCCAATTCATCTCTATTACACATGCACATCATATCCACTGCACATCCACTTCATCTCACATTACACAACCTAGGAGGCCACCTGTGCCACATGCATATATACGTCAGGATTCAGCAAACTTAAATATTATTTGTGCACGGTTTGGTAGGCTTCTAGAACCTTCGGGGAGACTTGTGGTTATCCGAGGCTGATAAAAGGATCCAAGTTGGCGAGGGTTTACTGTGTATCAACAATAATTGTACTGTGAGAGTGAATACCTTTGGTCATTGTCAAACAATAAAGATTTGAATATTAATGAGAAAATTTTGTAAATATCATCATTATTAATCAAAATTATGGGTTAATATCATTAATGAAAAATTTTGGGGTAAATGTTGTCTATTATAAAGGTAATGGGTAAATATGGTTAAAGTTATGAGAATTTCAAAATGGATAAATCATTTCCCCTAAACCTAACCACCAGTGGGGATCAGCTGAACTTTAAGCATCTTGAGGATCAAGTGAACCTTAGGCACCCTGGGTGGTTTAGCTGAACTTTGGGTGTCCCTGTGAGGGTGCAGGTTGTCCCTAAGGGGTTTAAGAGATTAGCTGTGGGTCTCAGGAGAGTTCTAGGGCATTTTTTCACCAGACAATTTGTCACCGGTTCAGTATACGTAAACTTAACTTAATTTAAATTAGCCTCACCTAACCATGTCTTCATTCCCTCCAAAATAGACATTATTAACTAAATTTGATAAATGTAACATTGGTGTTCAATAGATCAACGACAAAATGTTGGCCCACCCTAGAGGACTAATGGGACTCTAGGGGGTGTGTTAGGTGAGGGCATATCTGTTCCTTCCAGGGGCTGTGTGAAGCAGTGAGGGGCTGTGTGAGGAAGTGACTGGCTGTGTGAGGCTACTAGGGGCTGTGTGTGACTGTGAGGTTTTGAGGGGACGTCTGTTCCTTCCAGGGGCTGTGTGTGGCTGCCAAGGACTATGTAAGGCTGCTAAGAGCTGTGTGAGGCTATTAGGGACTATATGAGGCTATTAGGGGCTATATGAGGCTAGTAGGGACTATATGAGGCTAGTAGGGACTATATGAAGCTAGTAGGACTATATGAGGCTAGTAGGGTTTATATGAAGCTAGTAGAGACTATATGAGGCTAGTAGGGACTATATGAGGCTTGTAGGGACTATATGAGGCTAGTAGGGACTACGAGGCTAGTAGGGACTATATGAAGCTAGTAGGGACTATATGAGGCTAATAGGGACTATATGAGGCTAGTAGGGACTATATGAGGCTAGTAGGGACTATATGAAGCTAGTACGGACTATATGAGGCTTGTAGGGACTATATGAGGCTAGTAGGGGTTGTGTGAGGTTATTTCTGTGGTTGCTGTATTAGGTTAATAGGGCCTGTGTGGGTCTGCTAGAGGCATTGTGGGGCTAGTACAAAGTATGTAAGGCTAGTAGGAACTGTGTTAGGTTAGTAGGGGATGTATGATGCTGCAGGGGTTACGTTACCCTCATAGTCATGAAATGGGGGGGGGGGGCAGTTGCAATTCCCAGCTTTGGCTGATAGATTACTTAGAATCTCACTCAGACTCGTCCACAATGTCATTTTACTAAATTGCTCCTTCCATCACGTGGCGATTCCTCATCCAATACTGGGTTCACTTAGCTTGAGAGTTTTTAAATATTATTGTAGTAACTTTGCCATAATAATACCCCTTATTGGCACAGGCATTTACTATTTTTAACAAGCCTTGTCCTTGTGAATTGCAATGAAAAAATAATTTTATATTTTTTATATTTACAATACAGTACATTTCTTAGTCACAGCAAAGATGCCTGTATCTTGGCATCATACAGTACTGGTATGGCATATTAAAAAATATAAATTTTACAGGCACAATTTATAGCGCAGAGTATTGGTCAAGCCTTCCAAGTAGCCTACCTAGAATTCTTGAAGGCCAATGGAATTGAAGATCATAGTTTTGTTAAAGAGATGGACTACCAGGAGGTCCTTAATTCTCAAGAAATCTTTGGAGATGAACTTCAAATGTTTGCCAAGAAAGAACTACAGAAAGAGGTATGTTTGTTATAGACCATTATGACCTTTACTATATTTTTGTGTGTGACACTGTCATCAATCTTGAGACATGAGATTATATGTTAATAAAGCTCATTTATACTTATGTGTAAATAATACATTATTTATCTTATGGTCAAATTGGTTGATTATGTCACACATGAGGTACCAAATGTTAAAATGCACCAATATTTAAACAATTTGGCTCTCGTGCCACCAGTCTTAACTATGCATAAAATCAGATAATTATTTTGGGTGTTTTCTACTTTTTCATGTATCTATCTACTGTACAGTAATGTCTCTGTCAGCTGGAATCCCCGTTAGCCGGAACTCACCAATGCCCGTAATTGAAATTGTCTCTGAATGTTTCCGGGAAAATTATCTCGATTCCGGGTCTGTGAACGAGTTTCCGATGCTGAAAATCAGGCACATTTTCTGAGAAAATTCCGAGAGGGTTCTGAGAAAATCTCTCCAAATCTCTTCACTCTGGGCCTGGGAATAAATTTTCAGGGAGTTCCAAGACAGTGTATCATGTTCCAACGCATCCCCATGTGTCAGGCACAAGGGTGGCCTAGCTGCCTGGATCATTTAGTTCATATTCTGCTGCCATTGTAGAAAGCTGTTTCCCTGCACTCTGTTGTTTTTGCATACAGTTTGTGTTGTGCAGTGCAGTCAAGAATACAGTGTTACAGCAGTGTTATAAACATAATAAGTGATTACAGTTATGTGTACCATACTGTCCATTCAGTAAGTTGGAAACACTGGTGTACCATAGCTTTTGTCTTTATTCAAGACATCTTCAGGTCATTAGGTCCACTATTCACTCACTCTGACATATTATATTCAGTTGAATGGACAGTGTCTGCCTACTCTAGGCTCAAGATAACAGCATCTGTTGGTGAGTACAGTACAGTATATACAATATAGTAGTAGTCTACATTATTATGTTTAAAGTATTAACAGTACAGTACCTGTATATTGTGCGTGTACAGTGGTGTTTGCGTAAATAAATACGGCTCCATGCAAGATGCGTCTAGACTCGGGGAAATTTTGCTGTGAAGAGTGGAAAATTCCACAGCTTCATTCATGGCCGTATCAGATATATATATATACAGTGAACCCTCACTTTACGAGCTCAATTGAACCCACGGAGGTCCGTGTAAAGCGAGAAACTTCTCGCGTAAAGTGAACAACATAACATATGGGATTAAATGAAATAGAGACCGGCTGACCCCCAAACTCCACTTTTTCTGATACAATACCTATGTTCTAGTAAAAATAACATCTTAATTTTATGATGGTACATGCACACAATTAATACTTGAGAGAAATAGAGAAATACAGTCGCCAAGTTAATGTCCATTCAAATAATGGACTCAACTCCCTCCCCCTCTTCTCACACTATACTTGCTGGCTCTTCCCTCTCTGAGAAATTTTTGGGGGAAAACCACTAGATTTTAAGGTATAGTAATAAATAATATCTCAAACTAAAGTTAGGATAATATAATTGACATTGCTGGATTCCTTGTAAGACCAGGAATATTTTGAATATAACTGTCATATATTTTGCACAAAAGATAACATATTTACTCAGAGCAAACAAAATACTTACATTAGATCTAAAATTTGTATGTCTAATGCAAAATCTATGATGTTTATATTCAAAATGATCATCAAATTGTAAGAATTCCAGCAATGTAAATTATATTCTGGCCAGATAATTTGTATGAATTTTATGAGCTAAATAAAAAAATTATACTTCACCCGCGTATAATAATAATAATAATAATAATAATAATAATAATTAACGGTTTATTGAAAGAGCTTGGCAGCCAGAAGGCTGAAAATATACAGTTACATATTTGGGGAATGGGTTACGAATTACAAATAATATACAAGTGACATAAGTGACACAAATAAGACATATAGTAACTTAGATGGGGATCAGCTCAAACTACAGTTCATTTCAACATAGTGACAGTGTAGGGAGCAGTGTTTACTGGGAGTGAATACACTGATTTATTACATGTTATTGATAATTTTTACGATGGTTGGGACTGGGCTGTTCTTATAGCGATCAGTTCGTGCACGTATGGGCTGGATGCGGTTGTGGTGTCGAACAGCAATTCTCGGACAGGGGATCTCAGGTGGTAGTAGGGGCCGGTGTCGGGGATGGTGTAGAAGCTTCTTACCAAATTTGCAGATGAGGCCGTGGTGATGGTCAGTGAGAGTCGAAAGGGTCAGTGTGTTGAGCGCTTCTTGATATGTGGAGTAGGAAGGGGAGAGAATAATCTTGCATGCCCTCTTTTGCACTTTTTCTAGGTGTTTACGTTGTGTGGCATTTAGGGAGGAAGACCAGGTGGGGGAGGCATAGGTGAGCTTGGGAAGTATGAATGTTGTGTATACACTGAGGAGCTCGTGTGCGGGAACTCCGAGGGACTTGAGTCGGCGGAGGAGGTGGAGACGGAAACTGGAGGATTTGACAACTTCACTGACGTGTGGTTTCCAATTTAGTTTGTTGTCTATGGTGACGCCGAGGAGCTTCGTGGAATCTACAACCTGGAGTGTGTTCGGACCTAGGGTAATGGAAGGAGGTGGGACAATGTCGGAGGAGAGGTTGATGTGCATAACCATGGTCTTGGTATGGTTGATGGTGACATGGTTGTTGGTGGCCCAGTTTTGGAGACTGGTCAATAAATCCTGAAGGGCGGTATAGTTGGGAGCAGAATTGTTGACGCTGATCCCAATGGTGGAGTCGTCGACATATTTCCAGCGAGCAGGGGTTTCTCTTAGGGCATCATTGATGATGAGTGGATCGCCACGCCACAGGTGAGTGACTGAAAGGTGGAGACAGCCCCTCGGAAGCGTACAGCTTGGCGTCGGTCACTGAGGAAGTCTGTAAGCCATGGTATGAGACTTCTCCGAAGCCCGAGGTCAATAGCTTTGTTTATGATTATATTGTGGTCGACTAGGTCGAACGCTTTAGTGAAATAAGTAGATGAGTAGATGCACCGCGTAAAGTGGTAAAGTGGGAATTCCGGTTCTGGTAGGGTACCGTGTAAATGTAGAAACGCGTAAAGTGAAACCGCGTAAAGCGAGGGTTCACTGTGTGTGTGTGTGTGTGTGTGTGTATATATATATATATATATATATATATATATATATATATATATATATATATATATATATATATATATATATATATATATATATATATATATATATATATTTCCTAGAATCCACAATACGAACGTGGATAAGATAAATCTTGATAAAATCACACGGGAAAATGGAAACAACGGAAAACCTTAGCTTTCGTTTTATTCTACTCTACGGTTGTGTTGGTGTGGGGATTAGTGGATGTCATCATTATGACCTGACCTCATGTTTTTAGGTCACCCTGTATATTTAAGCCTCTCTCTGTCCATGTAATCTAGTTGCCTCTGAAGATGTCTTGAATAAAGACGAAAGCTAAGGTACTCCGTTGTTTCCATTTTCCCGTGTGATTTTATCTATATATATATATTACTGTACTGTATTATCTATATATATATTTTTTTTATCTATATCGGACTTACGACCATATCGGACTTACGACCTGGATTTGGGTCCCTAACCCCGTCGTAAGTCGGGGTTTAGGTGTATATATATATATTTCATAAAATCCTAATAATGAAAACGTGATAAGATAAATCTTGATAAAAATCACACGGGAAAATGGAAAACAACGGATATCTTAGCTGCCTTTATTCTACTCTTTACGGTTGTGTTGGTGGGGATTAGTGGATGTCATCACATGACTCCGACCATGTTTTTAGGTCAAATTCTGCATATTTGGGGTTTCTCTGTCCATGTAATCTAGTTGCCTTGAAGATAAAATTTCTATTTTCCCGTGATTTTATCAAGATATATATATATATATATATATATATATATATATATATATATATATATATATATATATATATATATATATATATATATATATATATATATATATATATATATATATATATATATATATATATATATATATATATATATATATTTTATGTAAATCCACAATGAAAACGTGGATAAGATAAATCTTGATAAAATCACACGGAAAATGGAAACAACGGAGTACCTTTTAGCTTTCGCTCTTTATTCTACTCTTCACGTTGTGTTGGTGTGGGGATTAGTGGATGTCATCATTATGACCTGACCTCATGTTTTTAGGTCACCCTGTATATTTAAGCCTCTCTCTGTCCATGTAATCTAGTTGCCTCTGAAGATGTCTTGAATAAAGACGAAAGCTAAGGTACTCCGTTGTTTCCATTTTCCCGTGTGATTTTATCAAGATATATATATATATATATATATATATATATATATATATATATATATATATATATATATATATATATATATATATATATATATATATATATATATATATATATATATATATATATATATACAGTCAACCCTCACTTTACGCGGTTAATGTAACCCACAGGGTACCGCGGAAAGTGAGAAACGCGTAAAGTGAATAACATAACATATGGGATTAAATGAAATAGAGACCAGCTGACCCCCAAACTCCACTTTTTCCAACACAATACCTATGTTCTAGTAAAAATAACATCTTAATTTTATGATGGTACATGCACACAATTAATACTTAAGAGAAATAGAGAAATACAGTCGCCAAGTTAATGTCCATTCAAATAATGGACACGACTCCCTCCCCCTCTTCTCACACTACACTGCTGGCTCTTCCCTCTGAGAAATTTTGGGGGGAAAACCAGGTATAGTAATAAATAATACCTCAAACTAAAGTTAGGATAATATAATTGACATTGCTGGATTCCTTGTAAGACCAGGAATATTTTGAATATAAATGTCATATATTTTTCACAAAAGATAACATATTTACTCAGAGCAATCATTACATCTAAAATTTGTATGTCTAATGCAAAATCTATGATGTTTATATTCAAAATGATCATCAAATTGTAAGAATTCCAGCAATGTAAATTATATTCTGGCCGGGTAATTTGTATGAATTTTATGAGCTAAAATAAATATCTTCAGTTAATAAAAAAAAAAATATTCTTCACGACACTATCTGTCAATCAAAGTACCCCAGCTTGCCTCCCCCCCTCTTCCAACCCTGCCAGATGGTCAGTCCGTCCCAACCCTCCCTTCAAGAGAAAGAGTGGGTGAAAAAACTAGATTTTAACATTTAGTAGCCTATTAAATAATACCTCAGATTAAAGTTAGGATAATATAATTGACATTGCTGGATTCCTTGTAAGACCAGGAATATTTTGAATATAAATGTCATATATTTTGCACAAAAGATAACATATTTACTAAGAGTGAACATTATATCTAAAAATTTTATGTCTAATGCAAAATATAAGATATTTATATTCAAAATGATCATCAAATTGTAAGAATTCCAGCAATGTAAATTATATTCTGGCCAGGTAATTTGTATGAATTTTATGAGCTAAAATAAAAATCTTCAGTTAATAAAAAAAAAAAAAATATTCTTCACACGGTAACAGATGGTCGGTCGCCGGTCCCTCCCTCCCTCCACCAACGTCCCTACTAGATAAATGTGTGGGAATACCAGACTGTTTACCTTTTTAGTAATAAATAATAAATCAGACTAAAGTTAGGATAATATAATTGACATTGCTGGATTCCTTGTAAGACCAGGAATATTTTGAATATAAATATCATATATTTTGCACAAAAGATAACATATTTACTCAAGAGTAAACATTATATCTAAAATTTGTATGTCTAATGCAAAATCTATGATGTTTATATTCAAAATGATCATCAAATTGTAAGAATTCCAGCAATGTAAATTATATTCTGGCCGGATAATTTGTATGAATTTTATGAGCTAAATAAAAAAATTATACTTCACCCGTGTAAAGGGGTACACCCACCGCGGAATGTGAGCATCCTGGGTTCTGGCAGGGCACCGCGCAGACGTAGAAACGCGGAATGTGGGACCGCGTAAAGTGAGGGTTGACTGTATATATATATATATATATATATATATATATATATATATATATATATATATATATATATATATATATATATATATATATATATATATATATATATATATATATATATATATATATATATATATATATATATATATATCTTGATAAAATCACACGGGAAAATGGAAACAACGGAGTACCTTAGCTTTCGTCTTTATTCAAGACATCTTCAGAGGCAACTAGATTACATGGACAGAGAGAGGCTTAAATATACAGGGTGACCTAAAAACATGAGGTCAGGTCATAATGATGACATCCACTAATCCCCACACCAACACAACCGTAGAGGAGCTTAAGAGAAGGGTGGTGACGTGACTAGACAGGTCAGGTCAGAAAAAAGGGACCCACAAAATAACTGTCATACATCAAGATCAAAGGTTTTCAAAGCAGTTTTAACCTTGGGCCACTGACAAATAAATTTATGTAACATATTATCAGTTTTGAACTGACCATCACTAAGGTTTATTGATTTTAATTCCTTAATCAAACTAGCTTCAACCAGAAGTCTTTCTGTGACACAAGATGATTTGAATACTTCTAAGCTTTTTTCCCAAGCAATGGGGTGATTATTATTCCTAACATGAACGAACAAGGCACTGCTTTCAGATGCAGTTCTGATATTATACTTATGTTGTTTGATTCTGAGCTGCAGTGTTTTTCCTGTCTGACCTACATAATTACAATTACATTGGCTACATGGAATACAATAAACACTTCCATTTACATTCAAACTTGGGCTATTTCTTATTAACATATTGGTAATGGTTGAGTCATACTTGAAAACAACATTAATATTTAGAAGCTTGAGGGACCGAACTAAAGGGACAAATTCATCACGATAGGGCAGAGTCAAAATATTCTTAAGTGTAGGAACTTGTCTGGTTACAGAGGAATGAAAGACGAAAGCTAAGGTACTCCGTTGTTTCCATTTTCCCGTGTGATTTTATCAAGATTTATCTTATCCACGTTTTCATTGTGGATTTACATGAAATATATATATATATATATATATATATATATTATACTTAATAAAAAAAGTACAAATAATTAAAATAAAAGGTTTTCGCATCTTTTAAACTACCCCCTGTAATATAATGTTAAGAATGTTTAAAAATATTTATGAAATCGAACAGCTCCTTCTGGTGGTAGCGGTGTTCTCATAAATTATCATTAATACCCGTACCCTTCACATACAATACTGTATATACTTCATAGGTAAAAAATAATGTCATCATGAATGCATCTCCACATATGCAATGGTAAGAAATTCATTTCTCTAACACAATTAGAGCAAATGTTGTATTCACTTTTTTTTGCTAGCAGTCTCGTGTCTCAAAAATACCTTAACTTTTGTCTTTATTGAAGACTTCTTCAGGTCATGAGACCCACTAATCACTCACCTAACAACAGATAACCTGACATTACATCAGGTCAGTAATATGAGACCACTAATCCCCCACGCTACCTCCACCTGACATTGTGTCAGGTTAGGTCAGTTACGTGAGACCCACTAATCCCCTACAGCCCTGTGGGAGTGGAAAATACCAGTCTTTTCTGTAACACAAAGCTTCATTCACGCCCGTGTCATATATATTTTTAGTTTTTAAATATATTTATTTTAAAAAAATTTTCGATAAAGTATTCATGATTATTTTATTAAAGAAATGGTGTTTATAACTTATTTTAGAAATGCTTTTACAGTCTCAGGTAGCTTAGGCCCTTGGAAAACTTTCTTCAGCACCCAGAAACATCCTGGGAATGTGGGCAAGTGTATGTCTGTGCAAGATGCTGAGTTTAGACTCTAAAACTTTCTCCAGTAACTGGAAAAAATTCTGGGATAAGAGATTTTTCTGAGTTTGAGAAAGTCGTTTGGTTACCTGGAAATCTCTCGTCCCAGGAAGTGCCCCGCACCAATTGTTCTGGCTAACGGGAATATTGCTGAATATAGATATACTGTATATATATATATATATATATATATATATATATATAGTACTGTATATATTTTTCTTTCCTTTTTTTTTTCATGTAAACCTTTAAGGTATTTTTGTATTGCAGTCTGATATTATGCGTAATTGAGATAATAAACCCGCTACATGCCAGCCTTGCGAGGTATTAGTATATGCAAGATGATTGTGAGCAGGTGAAGACTCGAGCGTGGTACTGTAGGGGACACCACTGCCTCGGTTATCCACCAACTATGTCACACCTTGATGATTAGAGAACCACCAAAGAAAATGATAATTAGTTATGGTTTTACATTTAATGTATTAACAACTGCATTAATTGTGATATTGATAACAATACATAATGTAAATTCCAGGAAAAATGTTTTATAGTAAACCAGGAGTTTTTTTAAATATCAGTACTGATAATTCGGGCAGCAGCGTGGTAGTTATATTGCTTTTCAGTTGATATTGAGAACACTTTATCATTACCTTCCAAAGTTTTGCTCACATTCTGAAAGATTGTTAACAGTAATACAAGAAGATGTGGTTGTTATGAAACCTTGACTTATTTTTATTCACACTGAATAAGAAGATTGATATTTGTCTTTTTATCAAGTCAGATAAGAGTCAGCTTTGTAACTGATAAGCAAGTTAGTTAATTACTTGTTTAAGCCTCAAGGTTGTTACTTAAAACCAACCTTGATATTGTATTATGTAAATTAAACTCATTAGGCTATGTTCAGTACAGTGCTTTGGATAATGAAGGCAGTGGTATGAGTGGTATGACTTAAATTTTGTGAAGCAGAGCTTGTTTGAGTTGTCTAATACGTTTGTGCACGAGATTTTGTCCATTATATATATGTCAAGAATGAATGAGCCATTTACTTGAAGCTTCAGAGCTTAGCATATGTTTCATCAAATGAAAATTATCACTTGACCGCCCACCGTGCCCACATGCCCAATCCTTTGACCAATCATTTTCAAAATGTGGTCATTAGTCATATATGAAAAGTGTATTCTAATGGGCATTTTAAATCTTTTCTGCCGCCCCACCCACACCGCCCACATGCCTACGTCGTACACAGGAGCTATATATCTCAAAAACGGTAAGTGATACAATAATCCTTTTAAGGGAAAAAATAAGATTTGAATTTGCACGTGTGATAAATGAATTTCATTCATTAAAAAAAAAAAAATCCTTAACTTGTGCAAAACTACTGTTTTTAGGAACACTCACTTGTTGCGACTGTCTAGTAACCTCACATCAAGTACTGTTATCTCAGTAATTGTATGACATCATTAGAGGTACCTGATGAAACATTTGAGTTTTTTTAGATTTTGTATAGTGAGCGGTCTCTGTGACTATTACTGTACCATCATGATCAGGAGAGTCTGGAGTGGTGGTGGTAGAATGCCAGTTCTTGTCAGACATCTGTGTATGTATCATGAAGTTCCTCAGTTGCTTTATATGTGTTGGCAGTTACTAAACAGCACTAGTAACACACGCTTTGTGGTGAGGCTTTTGTGTAAGGCTGTAGTTGTGCACCTGCAGTTTTTTCGGTAGAATAGATTTTGTCTCATTCATCTTGTTTTTATTAAACACACTCCTGTTTATTTCAGGTGGTGGTACCAAAGATGAAGAGCGAAATCCTGGGTGTCGTGGTCGTGGAGTCAGGGTGGGGGTCTATGGTCCCGACGGTTGTGATCGCCAATCTATCCCCCACGGGTGCTGCTGCCAAGTGTGGCCAGCTCAACATTGGTGACCAAATAATTGCTATTAATGGTGTGTCGTTAGTGGGTCTTCCACTTTCTACCTGCCAGAATTATATAAAGGTAAGAATGAATTGTCATTTTTATCTCTTTGGTTACATGCTATAATTTTCATATACAGTATTGTAGACAGAAATCCATTTGCTCAATTTCCTCAACACATAATGTCTCGATTTTTTTCCTCAAAACATACATTGAATTAAAGGCACATCTTTCACAATATTTTAAAATCAATCCAACACTAATGTTATCCTTCAGTTAATTACAAGAACATTGTAACCATAATTTTTTATCAGTTTTATGTGTTTGTTGAAAGGTTACAAACTTATATATTGTATTATTTTGGTGTAGCATTGTTATATGAGTGGTTGGGAGTGTGTACACAGAGCATAACTTGAGTGTATACTTATATGGATTTGTCTCAACAGTAGATGAAGGGCAGAACACTGAATTCAGGTCAATATATCAAAGGTTAAAGTCACAGCTGATAGTCAGAAGAAAAGAGTGCAAACTGCTTACAGTACTTGTTAGTTTTACTCTGGCATAAGACTCATAACCCTTACTATCGTTGTATTTGTCACTTTCACTTCCCTAACCAGTAAATGAGTTTCCATGCACTAATATGATAATGCTTAAATGCATTAGCTGTAGAGAGATGATTTTTATATTGAAGTTGAGGGTTGCTGGATGAAAGGTTGAATTTAGTCATGCAAAATTCAAAATTTGGTTTTCAAAATGTAACTTATTTCCATGCACCAATGATGTACTGTATTGGTATCTTGCTCCAAAGGTTAGGGTGTACATTCTTCTAGATTCCCCAGTACTTGGTGATGACGAAGTATCACATGATACAAAAACCAGATCAGGGGAAACAAAGGGAGAAAAGGAGGGGGTGGAAGGAAGAAGGGAGCAGGAAAACTGAAAATATTGAAGAAACCCTTTCCTATATTTTCCCTTTTAATACATTTCCTCAGAGAAAGGGAAGGAAGAAGGTAACAATCAGGGGATGGATGAGAATGGAAAGGAACAGATTAGCTAAATAAAAACAGTAGAAACTCTTCAAAACTCTTCTTCTATAGGGAAAGGAAAGAGGAAGAAAAGGATCAGATCTTTTTCTTTACTTGTCTTACAGTAGAAAGGAGAAAATTTATCAAAGTGTTGTCTCTTCCTGTTGTTGAAGGTGTAATTTTAGGTTTTTGAAGCACAAATTGAGCTTCATGTAAAGACCATAGCATAGCACCTGTACCTTGACCATCAGGAGAAAAAGTCCACAGTTGAAATTTAAGTCATTGCTAAGTTTATTGTTATGTATCCAGCCAAGGGATCCTACACACATTTTTCTGGGATTTTTATATTAAAACTGTTCATTCTTGCTTTATTTGGGTCCACTTAAAATACAGTATTTTGTCACCTTTATATCAGTAACCATTTATATGTTGTCTTTAGTTAGAATAATTTGCTTCCACACTTCTTTGTTTTTAAATGTTGGGATTAAATTGTGCTCATGTATCATATTTTATTACATGATATCTGTGCATATCTTTCTCTATAAACTGCAAAATCAATGTTATTATATTTGTGATTGCTAACACCTATATCTTCAAGGGTCAAAATATATATCTTGACTCAACCTTTCTTTATACTTCAGAATACAAAATATAATACTGCAGTGAAGCTTACGGTAGTCCCTTGCCCTCCTGTGGTTGAGGTGAAGATTCGTAGACCTGACACAAAATACCAACTAGGGTTTTCTGTACAAAATGGTGTTGTAAGTATAAAGTGTTTTTAGTTATATTGTTTGTAATTATAAGGTGACTTTTTCTCTATGTAATGTAACTTCTGTCCAGCATTTTATTTATATAGCAATCTGACCATTCAATGTGTCAAACTACTTAGGTACAGTCTCGTTCAAGATTCTTTAAACACTGCTGAAGACAGCTGGCAACTCTAGGCTGTTTGTTTACTATAGTACAGTACTCCCTCTTTATCGACGGGGGTTACGTTCTGTAAACGGCCGTCGATAAAGAAACCGTCGATACCGTGATGGTTACGTAATTTTTCTAACTATTATTAGCATATGTTGAATAAATGTACCTTTAAGCATTAATGCGTTTCCTTTACACATAACCTTAAATAATAGTGTATAAATAATAATATAATAAGTGGACAAAAATACTAGCAAACTTACGATTTCATTTATTGAAGTGAACATCGGTCCTTACAGTAAACAAAACAGTGTACAGTAGGCTACAGTAAAAGTCCAAAAATCCGGATGCCCAAGGCAAATTGTTTACCATTTATTATTACAACACTTTACACTGAAACGCGGGTAGTTTCAACAAAAATATTGTATATTTCCATTCAAGTATTTATTCAAGTCAATTAGGAGGGAATATTATTGTAATACAACAGTTTTTTAACTAAACCATTCGAAAAGTGATTACGGTAACATCTTTTGAACGAAAGAAAGCGCAAGTCATTGTTTTCGTCACGATTTGATCCCACTTTCCACTGTAATACATACGTCATTTCAACAAAAATATTACATTTCCGTGAATGTATTATATCAAGCACAGTATGAATAGAATATCATTGTAATATAACAGAATTTTAACCGAAAACTATTAAAAAAACGAGTAACATCTCAAGAACATCGGAAGCTTAGGTAAAGTCTTTTGTTTTCGTCATGTATTTTATCCTATTTTACATTGAAATACGTCACGTTTCAGCAAAACTACTATTTATTTCCGAGAATATATTCATTCAGGCGCAGTTTAGGTAAAATATACGTGTGATGTAATAATTTTTTAACTGAAAACGATTCGAAAAACACGTACCCTCTAGCCCTGTTCAAGGAGAGGACTGGGAGAAGCTGTTTGGTGCTGCAGACGATGACAAGGAAAATGATTTTGATGGATTTTAATGAAAATATTCAGAAATATGGTATCGTAATATTTATTCAAGTCAATTAGGATATTATTGTAATACAATACAACAGTTTTTTAACTAAACCATTCGAAAAGTGATTACGGTAACATCTTTTGAACGAAAGAAAGCGCAAGTCATTGTTTTCGTCACGATTTGATCCCACTTTCCACTGTAATACATACGTCATTTTAGCAAAAATATTACATTTCCGTGAATGTATTATATCAAGCACAGTTCAAAATAAAAATCCGGCTAAATAATCCGTCGATAATCGAAACCGTCGATAAAAAATCCGTCGATAAAGAGGGAGTACTGTACGTAGTAAAAATTATGAATGAAAGTAAAATTTGATTGGTTACTTAGTTCCCCATTGCTTAATTAATGGTTTCGCTTTGTATTTTCGTATTATATTATATTACGTACTATAGTAAACAAACGGCCTTAAGTTGCCAGCAGTGTTCATAGAATCTTGAACGAGACTGTACATACAGAATAACACATTAACACAAAAAAAAGGGCAGTGAATAATTAATTAACATTTGAAAAGTAAATACAGTGATCCCTCGGTTAACGAACGCCTCGATTAACGAAATTTCGGTTAACGAATTACCTTCCATAAGATTCTTCACTTCGGTTAACGAAAAAATTTTGGTTAACGAATTCCCTACAAATATTTCAAAACCTATTTTCGCCTGCTTTTGCCTGCTGACCAGCTGTAGTATTAGTCCGCCAATACGGTAATCGGTTTTAGGGCTTAAATTCATTACCATTTGAGTAAATATCAAGAAGGTTGTACTATTCAATAATTTTCCAAGTCTTATACATATTAAAGTTTTTAGTCATTTTAACAATTATTTAACATAATTGAAGTACAGGGAACTAGTTTTTAGTGCGCCAAACAGCCGCTTGACTCCCCCAGAATGGCGTCACTTTGTGTGTCTGCTCAGTGGAGGAAGCATCTTGCTCGACTCTCTTGAACATAAACTATTTTTACATTTTTACAGTACAATTATTGGTCATTCTGAAGTTTATTTTACATATTGACAATATATAATGCAGTGCAGTGTTGATTTAAAGAAAATAATCTTGAATTACACCAATTGAACTAAAATTTTATGGGTGAAATGGCTGCATGGGGTGACTTCTCTTCCACCCCAATGCCTTCTCTTCTCCCTTTTCCTCCACCCCCATTCTAATTCCCATCATCATCATCAACCAGGAGCCTTCTACATGCACATCTCAAAGTAGTGTACTTTACTGCATTTCTTTTTAGTTTGTAAGTGATTTTCGGTGAGCTGGAACCAGTTACCCCAAATCCCATTGAAACAATGGTTTCGGTTAACGAACGACCTTCTGAAACGAATTGTGTTCGTTAACCAAGGGACCACTGTACTGTATTGCTAGGAAAGTAACTAAAATTATTGAGATGTCATTTGGACAAGTAATTATACAATTATCAAATTGAGGACAACAGATCCTTAATCAGTATGTTTAGGGGTACATATGTTAAGACTTTGAATAAAACTGGTGAGATCAAGATTATGACCCAAACGGTAAGCCTTATAGGATTATAGGCTGAAGACATTTTTATCTCAGAATTTAAATTTAATGTGTTTAACCACTTGAGTACATCCAGAATAACAAATGAACACAAAAAATTTACCTTGAAAAACCATAGCGGCGAGTAATTAGCGTTAGAAAAGTAATTGCCATTTGAAAATTAAAGATATTTAGAATACAGTGGTCCCTCGATTAACGAACACAATTGGTTCCACAGAGCCAGTTGTTAACCAAAAATTTTGTTAGCTGAATATATTATTTCAATGGGATATTGGGTAATTGGTTCCAACTCACAGAAAAAGTATTCAGGTAGTTTCTCCCCGACTTACGACGGGGTTAGGGACCCAAATCCAGGTCGTAAGTCGAAAATGCAAAAAATAATACATAGAAAATCTAAAATGAAATACAGTACAGTAAAAGTAATCAATGATGAAGAATGATACAGTGTAACTGTGCACTTACCTTTAATGTAATCAGCTGAATGCACACGGGGCCCCAATAATGTTTTAATTATACATGGAGACTACATAAATTGGATGAAGCAGAGGAGGAGACAGGGCTGGGTGGGTCATCAATGTCACTTTCTTCAGACAGGTTAACATACAGGGGACCCTTGCTTGTTGAAGATATTGGATCATCTTTAGGGAGTGAAGAGGCAGCACTGGTGTGGCGTGAGGAGACAGCAATGGGGGACTTCTTAAAATATATGTCCAATTTAGACTGCACAGTTTGCCTTTTCTTTTCATTGTAAATCTCCCTGTAGCAAACAAGTGCATCTTGGATCATTTTGTCAACTTTTGTAAAACGCTCAACATTTTCATCCATTTCGTCAAACATTTGCATCCCCTAATTAATAGTAGAAAATGCCTCTGCCATTTGTTTCACTGAAAATTTTTTGGGGGGTGCAGGTTCTTCTTTTACATTTTGACTCTTCTTCCTCTGCAATTTTCTGTGCATCCTGTTCAATAAGATCCTCATTACTTAGCTCTTCTGCTACACTTTCAACCAACTGCTCAACATCTTCATTATCAATTTCTAGCTCCAGCTGTTTACCCATCTGCACTATCTTGTTACTAATCTTAGAAATTACTTCATCTTCAATAAATCCTTTGAAACTGTTCACATATCTTTTCAGGACTTTCTTCCATATTCCATTCATGCACTGACCTGTAACCTCATCCCATGCTGCAGCTATGTTCTTTATACATTTCAAAATGTTGTAGTAATTCCAAAACTCTCTGAGCGTTTTCTCACCTTCAGTAGCAGCAACAGCCTGAGCGAAGGTCGTATGTAACTAATTCGCTTTAAAAGCAGCAATAGCACCTTGATCCATGGGTTGGATGATAGACGTAGTGTTAGGTGGAATGTAGACTACCTTAACATCAGGGTGCAGGTCATCCAGGTGTGGTGGGTGTCCTGGAGCATTATCCAAAATTAATAAAATCTTGAATGCAATCCCTTGTTGCAGACAATACTCCTTCGCTCGTGGAATGTAACAAGTCGGGAACCAATCCTCAAACAGTACTTAGGTCATCCATGCTTTCTTGTTACTGCGATAAAGCACTGGCAGTGTGTGCTTGCTGACATGCTTAAAAGCCCTTGGGTTCTCCCCTCCCTCAACAGAAGTGTGATTCGGTCCTTGAATGCCTTGAATCCCGGCATGGTTTTCTCCTCTTTGTGGATATATGTCTGTCCTGGCATGCGCTTTCAGAATAAGCCAGTTTCATCCACATTAAATATTTGCTCAGGCAAATAATTTCCCTCCACGATGACACGATCTAGCTCCTCCTTAAAAGCTTCGGCAGTACCCACATCAGCACTTGCTGCCTCTCCACTCACCTTTACACATTGCAAACTGTAACGGTTCTTAAACCTTTGGAACCACCCATGACTTGCTGTGAAGTTTTGGTCGCACTCATCTCCTGCCTGCTCCTTCAGGCTTTCGAAAAGGCTTCTTGCCTTAGCCTGTTGGGTTAGAAGGCTTCAGGGTATACGCTTTTGTATCTGATCTTCCATCCATATCACAAGTAATTTTTCCATCTCATGAATAGGACCTTGTCTTTTTTTCGTTATTATTGTTCCCTTTATAGGTGCTGATCCTTTCACTACCTCACGAATTCGTTCCTTGTCTTTCAAAATTGTCGAGTGAGAGAAGCCAAGGTCGCGTGAAATGGTTGCTACCGTTTTTCCATTTTCATATTGTATTATCATCTTCATTTTCATCTCAAAAGTAATTGACTGTCTCCTTTTCTTCTGAGCACCACCAGAACTCTCACTTCTACGCTTGCCAGTCATTCTAAAGTGAATTAGAAAAAAAAATATTGCCAGTACACAGCGCGATCACTACCGACAACAACGACAGCCAAACACCAACTGAGCGCTCTATAGCTTGGATACTGTAACCACGAGGCGACCCAGCCCATGCGACGCTCTCGTACTGGACGGAAACGTTTCGGTCTAGAAAATACGTGCGTCATTTAAAAATATTTTGGTACCGACTGTGGCGGTCGTATGTCGAATAGGTCTTAAGTCGAGGAGTTGCTGTACATACAAAGTACTGTGTACCAGTAATAGAATTAACAAAACATTAAATATAAACTAAATACAATACTGTACAATAATAAATAAAAAAACAGTAGAATGCTGTATTTTAACTTACTTTGAGGTGTATTTTAACTTACTTTGAGGTGTGTATGTCGTATTCCTGGCTGCTTTGCTTACATATCAAACAGCTGATTGTAGAGGCAGTCGATGATGACATGCCATATTCTTTACAGAGTGCATTGGTTCTAATACCTTCTTCATGTTTCATAATAATTTCTGCACTTTATATTATCAATATGTTAACTGAATTTCAGAATGACCAATAATTTTAATGTAAATACGTAATGCAAAAATATTCAAGAGACCAACAAACTCGATGTTCACTCCATTGTAAACTGAGTTAAGCTGAGAAGATATGGTTTGTGATTCGATCAGCTGAATGGCACACAAAACTGTTCCCTGTACTGTATATATTATCAGTATGTTAACTAAATTTCAGAATGACCAATAATTTTAATATAAAAAATGCAATAATATTCAAGAGCACAACTTTCTTGATATGTACTCCACTGGAAACGAATGTTAACATAGAACCAATTACTGTCTTGGCGGACTAGCCGTTCAGCTGATCAGCACAACAAAGCATGTTTCTCGTAAGGCTGTAGTTAATGAAGTTTTGATCGTTAGTGGAACTGAAAATCCTTATGGGAGCTAATTCGTTAACCTAAATTTCATTAATCGAGGGACCACTGTATATTTAAAAAGTCAATTACCGGTATGCAGTGTCCGGAAGTTTTAAATCGCCTTTATATACATTTTCTAAAAAATATAGACCATCTTTACTATATATACACGTTAGTTTTCACTTTCCAAAAATGTTGCCTGACGTCAAAAATACATTGTGTTTCGGCACTTGGGTTCATACCATGGATTTTGTTAAAATTTCTTACAAAGGTACTACTTTACATGCTGATTAGGGATCTGGATTCACAATTAAAAAAATGACTAATTAGTGTTAATTAATGACCTTTGAAGTAATAAAACATAATTAGAATATTTAAAAGTAAATTACGCTGTGCCCGTTACTTTTAGAACATAATAACATAAGAATGGAGGAAACTGCAGCTGGCCTATTGGCCCATACTGGGCAGTTCCATTTACCCCCAACTCCTATTGCTCATACAGTATATCCATCCAACCTATGTTTGAAGCTATCCAGCGTATTCAAGTTAATGATGATGTTTGGTAACTTGTTCCACTCATCCAGTACACTATTTCCAAACCAATGTTTACCTATTTCACACCTTAATCTAAATTTGTCTAATTTAAAACCATTGTTACGAGTTTGCTACTGGTTGGATAGCTTGAGTACCTTTGTAATGTCCCCTTTGTTTAGCCCTGATTATCGCCCCTCACTCTACGTCTCTCGAGGGAGTGCAAATTAAGATGCTTTAACCTGTCTCCGTACTCAAGGTTCCTAATGCCCGGGATTAGTTTTTCATTCTCCTCTGAATTCTTTCTTAGGATTTTATATCCATTCTGTAATACGGTGACCAGAATTGAACTGCGGTAAATGTATGTTGTGTTGTCAAAGTTAGAGAAACAACCGAGAGCCTGCAATTGTGTGTAAATGAGGCAGAAAGTCAGATCAGCAACCTGGGACTTAGTCACAATTTTCATGATGCCATAAGGCAGCAGGGTCTACCATTAGGCAACACATTATGCTTCCAATATCTTCCCAGGTGGTAGTACCTCTCTGTTTGGTAGCTGCCTACTACTGTATACTAACCCTTTGAAATGTTGTAGAGTTTCACTTTAGAAAGACACCAAGGCTATAGCCTTGGTATCCTAACCCATTTTAATGCAAGAGATTTTCACCCTTAAAAGACACCAAGCCTTGGTGTCTTTTAAGGGTGAAAATCTTTTATATTTGGAAGGATACGTATACCAAGGCTATAGCTTTAATATACTTATCCTTCCTTTGGAAAAGGGGGTCTGTATGCACAAAATATGTGTGGTATGATGGGACAACTCCTAAAATATGTCTCTTTGGGTTGAGTTTTTAAGGGGATATGCTATTTGGAGATTATAATACAGTATAAGTAATGAAATGTGGAAGAATAGATTAAATACAATGAGGTGTTACGTTCAATATACATTTGAACGCAGGGTTAGGTGAAATATTGAGTAGGTTCCAATGATGATATTCTAAAAATGTGAGAGATAAAATAATTTTATAAGTACTGTACGTATTTTATTGAATGTCTTAACTTTGATTGACAGATTTGCAGTTTATTAAGAGGAGGCATAGCAGAACGTGGTGGTGTTCGAGTTGGTCATCGCATTATCGATATCAATAGTCAGTCTGTGGTTGCTGTTCCTCATGAGAAGATAGTGAACCTCTTAGCTACTTCTGTTGGTGAGGTATGTATTGAGGACTGTAACATAAAGACATTATTTTATGTGCTTCAAGTTTATTTTTGTATGTGCCCACACACTGAGGCACGTAGAAGAATGTGAATTTGTGTATCGTATGTACAGTAAAGCCTTGAATAACGACAGTAATGTGTCCTCCAATATTGCAGTGTAAGGTGAATCATCGTATTGTGAATCCTTAATTACCATTAAAATAAAGCAAAAATAATGAGATGCGTTCCCAAGTGTGACCTTTTCATATCTTTTGTGTGGCTTTTTACCCTCTATTCCCCGAAACAATACAATTAATGAAAAGTGCAAACTATATTCTTTAAATGTTTCTGAATGCACTTTATACAATACAAATGAATAATAATATGGTCACACAAGAGGAGATGGGATGCCATTGTTTTCATTAGTGTGTACACCTGGGACGATGGTTCTACATAAGAAAATGAAGATAATAAGACCTTGGTTATAGCTGCAGTAAAATTAATGTAAAAAAATTTATATATATGTTTTAAGTAATGTTATTTAATGTTAATAAATGGAACAATAGAAGTAGCTAACCACTAATGGAAAAGAAAAAAGCGAGACTGTGCTACGCCAACGTATGTAAGTGTGTACATGTGAAAATATATCGTCATTTCTCTACATAAGAATATGAAAGCAACACTTATTTACTGTTCATATATGTTTTAGATAATACTTATGAATGTAAAACAAAAATTCTACTCACCAATGGCGGTAAAGTCTAAAACATAAGGACAGCCAATGATTGTTGTGTGAGTTTTCACTCAAATGACGAAGTCATCAGGTTCAGCTCTGGCTGAACCTATAGGTTCAACTCTTGCTGAACCTATAGGTTCAACTCTTGCTGAAGCTGTAGCTTTCCATAAAGATGCCATAGCTGTTGCTGAAACTGTTACTGAACCTGAAGTTGTTGATGAAGGTGCTTATAATGCTGAATTTGATGGTGTAGCTGAAGTTGATGGAATAGGCCTTCGAATAATAAAGCTGTTGAAAGAACCTTGCTTAGCTGCTTTCTTTTCTCATTATATATCTTCATGTAGAGGTCATTTGCGTTTTTCACATCCTTGTTAATTTTAATGCTTTGTTCTGTTAATGGATCCACTTCAGAAAATATGTTCATTGCTTGCTCCATATAATATCCACAGACCTCTCACCTTTTTCATATAATTTTAATACATCTAGTTTCTCAGCTAAGCTTATACACTTTCTTTAAGCTTTTGAACCAGCACTCCTTTTCTTGTTCAGATGTATGAAAACAAAGGGCCCGCCAAGCTGCGACTGTTTATGCTAGTGATGTTGGCGTCACCACTCACAAGCCCGGCAACCTCCATGCGCAAGGCGTGTTTTTTATTTTATTATTTATTTTTTTTTTGTATAATACATATCGGGATTTAGTTATTATTTATACGAAAATGTACTTTTATTATATTTTTTATTCTAATTTTGTCATAAATACGAAGAAAATAATGGCATAAATTGAATTGGGTCTTAAATTAACCAGGGTCTTAAATATGAGTCGTCGTTAGTAAAACCGTCGTTATCGGAGTTTACTTTGATTTTTTTATGACCAAATTTTTATGTAAAAAGTAAGGGGTCAACTATATATACATAATACTTTTGAGAGGTTAAAATTCTTGCATTTCCAAAGGTCATTTATGGTGAATGATAGCTACCCGGTACATGTACGCAGCATGCTAACCTTACCAGTAAGCATCTTTAACCTAGGCTTGCCTCTAGATTTTTTCTTTATATTGCTACATGAAGAGTAGAACCTCATTCACATTATACGAGGTCCGACACAAAAAAATGAGACTGATGCTGTAACTCTTTTTATTTACCAAATTAAGAAAATTAACTGCGATCGCCTTCAAAGTAGTTCCCTTCTGAGTTGACGATGCTGCCACAGTTCAAAGCAATTCCGCAGATCATGTTCTGTAAGGCTCTATTGAGGAGCTTCTTCGTTTTTGCTTTCACCTCCTCTACTGACCAAAAATTGGTTTCTTTAAGCACGGACTTGATCTTTGGGAAGAGATAGAAGTCGCAGGGAGCCAGGTCTGGTGAGTAGGGTGGGTGCTCAAGCACAGTGCTGTTTTTATTGTCTAAAACTGCTTCACAGACAAAGCATTGTGGGCTGGCGCATTGTTCATCTGACAGCATTTTTGGAACCATTTTTGCACAAACTTTTGTCATGTTCAATTCTTCCGTTAGAATGCGTCAGACACTTTCCCTGTCTAAATTAACTTTCTCACCTATTGCTCGAACACCCAACCTACTTTTTTTCTAACCACATCTCGCACTTTTTCAAATAAATTAATAATTATAATGATAACCATAAATAAATACAAAAATGAAAAAAATCAAGAGTGAGAAACGATATATAGAGTACTGTATGTATGTTGTGTTGTCAAAATAAGAGAGACAATTGAGACCCTGCAATTGTGTGTAATTGAGGCAGAAAGTCAGATCAGCAACCTGGGACTTCGTCACAATATTTGTGATGCCATATGGCAGCAGGGTCTACCATTAGACAAGACATTATGCTTCCAATATCTTCCCAGGCAGTAGTACCTCCCTGTTTGGTAGCTGCCTACTACCTACACCCCCCTGCAGGCCTAGGTGTGAGGTTTATGGTTATTTTTCAACTCGTATACTGTATACTGTACAATCAGCGCCACTCTTAAGCCATACAGACTGGCGGCCTCAAAATTCCTAACCGGCAGCTTCACTGAATCCATCCCTCCCCCACCTCCGTAAACAAATAAACCAGATAATTAATCTGTCGTCAGCCAAGGTGTAAAGCCAAGGGCTACTCCTAAACACGTTAGTATGGATAGTTTCAGAAACAAAGAATTGTAACGATGTTAAAAATAACCTCCAGATTTCCCTCAAATGCCACAGTGTAAAGAATAGCGAACTTTTCTCATTAACACTACATTTAAACACTTATAAACACTACTTAAATGTTTATTACACACATTTTAATGAAAAATTGGAAAATACTTAGAAATAAAAAAAATGGTTCAGGAAATGGAGCTTTCTGATTGGTCCATTCCTTGGACCAATCAGTGCTCCATTCAATAATATAGGTAGCCACTAAATAACTCAAAGCTACTGTAATTATTTATAACTCAGTAACAACATGTATACCAATCTTAACACTTTTTATTCAAGGGATGAATCTGAAATTAATGTCCTTTATTTCCTCAGATTCGAATGAAGACCATGCCTACTTCAATTTTCCGCCTTTTAACTGGCCAAGAAACTCCACAGTATATATAGTGCTTCTTGATTTGTGCAGCTGATAAATTTGTAATTACTACAGCCACTTAAAATTGTCTGGGTGGACCTAGGAGAGTGTAGGTAAGTTCTGCAGTTACCCACTTGATGCTTTTATCAAAATTTAGTGGAAACTCCATATGAACAGCCTTTATGAACAAACATGTTTGTGTCGAAAAAAAACAAAAACTCTTTGGGCTTCCTCTCCCAGCCCAAAGACTTTCCAATGCTAAACCCTGTTTCTACCCTAATGATGAATGAGTGGCAGTCATTCTCAACTTTTTTAATGGTATAAAATCCTGTGAAGCATGTTGTTGGTTTGGAAGTGGGGTATAGATGGATGAGAAGATGCAAAATTAGTCATAAATTTAATATCAGCATGTTTGGATTAAGGCCTTGTTTCTTGTACTGAGTGTATGGAGATAAAAGAATCCATTTTGTATCTCAATATAAGTAGAGTGTTATCTTCATTATTGTGGTGTATAAATATTATGGCCATGAGCTCTATGAGCACAATGTCAGGTATGAAGAGAGTAGTTAGTGCTCTTTGCTTTCAAAATTATTTCTGAGACATTTAACATTCCTTGGCTATACAGTAAGAAGAAACAGACTAAATAAAGAAAACTTGGATGCAGTTAGTGCATTTTTTTATTGAAAGAAGCATTGTTCTCAGATGTTAAGATAAGATATAGCATACACAAGGCAAATAGCCATATCAAGATACTTACTATGTACTGAAATTACTATTCAAGCTTTTGGCTGTGCTTTGATTACATGGCAACTGGCAAAAATGGCATGATCTTTTCCATAACATTGTGATTTGAAGTGCATTTAGGCTTTAGAAGTACATTTCAATGTGTAACTGGTTTTCCACTTGCATAGACTAGGTAATATATAATTGAAATGCCTTCAAATGAACTAATATGGTATCACAGTTAGTTAGGAATAGCTACTACAATATATATGGTACCCTTTCATTTGTGCGTGTGGGTGTAACAGACTTATCAGTCAAGTGGATACTTGCCAGTAAAGTGATAACATAGTGGATCACACAAGTAAAAAGCCATGACCATATTGCTATGGGATAATTAGAACCTCATTTAAATATTATAGAGTTGAAGAAGAGAATTAAATTTACCTCTTTCCAAGAAGACAGAAGATAATTCTTAAGTTGTCACTGGTAATTATAACAGCAGTGTCTGCTGGTATGACCATGCAATATTATATCAGTGAGGCTCTCTCTTAATCTCTGAAAATACTGTTATTATATGAGCCTTGTTGAGGTAATATATAGGGATCATATTTGCTAATGTAATCCATACTATTCCTCAGATATGTAAGTTAAAAGTTAGTCATATTTTCACAGTCACTGCACAAGTATATTTTAGTTCAAAGTGTGACTTTGCTTCAATCCAGGGAAAACTCAGAAAAACTGGCATAGTAGTATCTGAGAATTTCATGACAGTATATAAATGTATATCATTGCATTTTATTGCAACCAACTTTACTTTGCCATCAATTGAAGGTAATGACAAGAATCTTGTTCATATAATTCCCTCTATTTACTGATAAACCTTAAGTTTATATAGAGGAGCATATCATTAAACAGTTATAAACCCTTGCAGGACTCGTACCTTATTTGCCCTTGAGCTCGTCATTATAGTAGAGTTCAGTGGACCACTGGAAGATATTGTTGAGCCGCATTTGCCCTCGTGCTCATTTTACACGTAAAACGATGCATACTTAAATACTTTGTTCTAAGCATTTTGATCTAGACAATTAAATCCAAACCCCTCAAAAAGTCCAATTTCATTTGTACTGCTTAAAAAACTTTATTCTTGTTACAAAAGTAGATATTGACATATTTAAAAGATTCTTCAGATGGACAGTTAACTTATATAGCAAGCATGATAGCTCTTGATACAGAGGCTGCCATTATGTTCCAGTGACCCACGGCGTTGTGTACTGTGTTGCCTTTGTGCCTGATACGGAAGAGCAAGTAAAGTGTACAGTGTATATGTGAGTCTCGTAACAATAAATTTGTGATGGTAGGGAAACCTCTGTACAGTATATATATATATATATAGTGCTATCAGGTTTGTCTTATTTTTATTATAACTAGGTAAGACATGAGTAGCCTTACCCATGTTCAATATTTATAATGTCCACATTGTGTTCTGTATGTAGTTTTTTCCTCAAGTTATTCTGAACATATTCTTACATTATGAGTGCAAAAGCTGTAAGCTAAGTTCTTATGGTGTGAAAACTGCTCTTTGTGACTTGACATATATCACTAATTCTTTAAAAAAAATATATCACACTCCTAAGTGGAGATATTCTCTGCTTGCTTCATTATTTGTGACGGCCAAACATTTTAAGATCTATTTGGTATATCTATGGATGTACAATTCTTCACTTATGGGGAAAAATTGCCTTGATATTCCAACTCATCTTTAAAATTATTGGTCAAAATTTTCTGTGAATGAGTGAACATAAAACAGTGATGGCAGTTGGGTTATTTATACACTTGCATTTGTAATTCGTTTTATTGTACATGAGAAAAGTGGCTTTGTAACACCAGAGTATCAACTCTTGTTCCAACTCCTGAGATCTGTGATTATATAAGCAGTTGTCATGACAAGGCTAATTTTCCTTAGGTAGCAAATACAGACACGAACTGTACACAAAACCCTTTTGGGTCTTGTACTTTGGTGATCACATTACTAAAGCAACCCAAACAATTGCTTACACTTAAAGTAAGCAACAAAGAATGCCATTATTAAAACTCCTTAAGCTGTGGATGAAAACCTCACTTCCATGTATCAACTGGAAACTGTGTCTTATAAGTATGTAAGACAGGGTGTAAGGTCACACAGTGGACTTTCATAATTGCACTAACACAGAAGTTTGTACAGTTCATAGTTGAAAAAATAATGCACTGCAGTTAAGCTATGCAATATTTTTTTTTGAACTACAACCTCAATATAAATTGCTTACCTTACACTCTTTCTTCCTAGGAACTCATAGGTGCATTTCCAATCATCACACAGAAACACAAGGTTATAGGAGGCAAGTACATATGACCACTTTACAGCACAAGCCTTTCCATGCTTAGCCAATGACAAGTGACAATAACTTAACTGGCATACAACAGACCACTCACCAAACCTAAGCAATGACAAGTGACAAAATTGTAAAATCTTATGACTGTTTATGGCAGACCATACACAGGCTTTGCCACTGACAAGAGTTATGATGCACCTAAAACCTTTGAAAATGTTTACTGTGTGATGATTTATTATATATATGTATTGGTGAAGAGAAATGAAACCAAAGGATGAGATCAGTAATTACATTAGGAAAACTAATATGATGTCACCATGTTGTGTGCCATATGTACTGAAGTCTGTTCTGCCAGTCAGTTCTTAATAAAATGGTTGTTAAACACTTCACTTGTTTTTTACATAACAAAATGATTTAGGAAATTATACTTATTCTAAACCATAAAGAATTTCATCACAGAAAGACTTAATTGATGCCCACATAATAGCCTGTGTAATTGATGCGCATATGACGGTCTATGTATACATACTGTACTTATTTCTAATTGACATCCAAATTCCAGCCTCTCTCCTCCCACCCTCTCCTTTTACCCCCACCCCTTCTCCTTTCACTTCCTCCCCTTTCCTTCTACCCCCACTCCCTCCTCTCCTACCCTGTTCCTCTATCCTTTCATCCCTCCCTCTCTCCTTTGCTCTATCCTTCCACCCCCATTCTTTTAGCCCACCCTCTCTCCTTCCTGTTTGTCCCTCTATCTGTCCACCCTTCCCCCTCTCCTTCATTTACCTCCTCTCTTTCCATCCACTCCATATCTCCCTCTTTCCATCCACCACCTCCCTTTCTCTCACCTTCCACCTCTCCCCCTCTCCTTCCACTCCTTCCATCAGCTCCCCCTCTCCTTCCTATGTGCTCTCTCCACCCCTCCCAATCTCCTTCCATCCCTCCCTATTTCCTTTCACCCTTCCCCCTCTCTCCTGCCTCCTCCCCCTCACATTCCACCCTTCGCTCTCTCCCTCCACACCCTACTCCTCACCTTTCCCCCTCACCCCTGGTGCCCTTCAATCCCTCACGTGTCCTCTACTCCCTTTGATGCCATCCACCCTGTGCCCTCCAATTCCCCTTGTAACCTCCATCCCCTGGTGCCCCCCACCCATCTCTGGTGGCCTCTAACCAGCACCACCTGCCTTCCAACCCCTGGTGTCCTTCACTGACCACCTGGTACTCTCCCCCCTGGGGCCCTCGACCCCCCCAGAGCCCTCGCCTACCCCAGTCCTCTCAACCCCCTCTTGTGCCCTTCACTGATCACCTGGTGCCCTCCACCCACATGGTGCTTTCCACCCACTTTCTTGTGCCTTCCCAACCACCTGGTGCTACCCAACCCTCGTGCCCTCCATCCCCACTGGTTCCTTCAGCCTCCCTAGTGCTCTCTAAACCCCTTGTTCCCTCCACACCGCCTTCTCCCATCACACCCCTCTTTCTCCCTCACCCTCCCTTCTCCTCCAAACACCCCTTCCCCTTCCACCCCCTTCCCTTCAACACCACCTTTCCTTCTCCTTCCCACCCCCTAACCCTTCCTTCTCCCTCCACCCCCCCCACTTCCTTCTCCCTCGAACCCCCCTTCCTTCTCCCTCCACCCCACTTCCTTCTCCCTCGAACCCCCCCCTTCCTTCTCCCTCCACACACCCCCTACCCCTTTCAGTTGTGTTCTGACCTCACTAGGGGAAAGGTCACGGCAGGGTTAGCTCCAGAGGGATAATTATCAGATATGGCCAGTGATATGTGCGGTCTTGGGTATGAGAGTTTGTTGACCAAACTGGAGTGGTCCACTGAAGAATTGGCGAGGGCCAAGTTAGAAATTGAGAGGGCCACGTTGGAGAACCTGAAATTAAGGAAAGAGCTGGCGAAGTTAAAAGGAGAGGCTGGACGAGTAAAGCCAGTGTCTGAGAAAAATCAAACGAGTGGAAAGTCGTGAGTAGTGGGAGGACCAAGCTGGTGGTCAAGAAGCACTCGAAGGATACGACAACAACGACAACAACAGCTAAGTGTACCAACCCGTTCAGTCCCTTGATAGACGAATTGGACGTTAGTACAGTCAGGGGCAGGGATGACAAGGAAGGTATAAAAACTTTAATTGTTGGTGACTCACAGGTAAGGTACATGGACAGGGCCTTTTGTGGTAAAAACAAAAATAGGATGAGGGTGTGTTTGCCAGGAGCTGGGGTAGTTGACAGGATGGACAATATCTTGTCTGGTAATGGGAACAAACCCATTATCTGCCTCCGTGCAGGAGGCAATGATATTGGCTGGTGTAGGGCAGGAACTTCTTGATAAGTTCAAGGCGGCCATAGATGAAGTATTAGGACTGAGGGGATCCTATCATATCTCGATTGTCTGCCTAGAAGGAAGTTGGCAGTGAATGGTTGTCAAGGGCGGTTGAATTGTTAACGACCGTCTTGACAGATCTTGAAGTCAATATCAGTCCCATTCGTATTCCAAGCAACAGGACCTTCTATGGCAGAAGGGACCTTTATGCTAGGGATGGGGTGCACCTGTCTAGATGGAGTGTAACCCTATTTAGGGCTCAGGGGAACAGTTCAAAGACCAAGTCTTTAAACTGCTAAGAGAACATAGAACCTGCGAGGTGGAGAGACTACTGATGAGGCCGGGTAAACAAGGCAATTACAGAAATAGTGTTGGAATGATAATAAAACTAAACAATTAGACAGGAGTTTTAAACCTTCATGTATTAAGGAAAGACTCAGGAGCACGACCAACAAATGTATACTACTTGCTTGAACAGTAGAAATTATGAAACAAAATGGATGATATTAAGGCCTTGGTATGTGCCGAAGAAATCGATATAATTGCATTCACTGAAACATGGATCAACCTAGACACCGCATTGAATTACCGATCGAATACCAAGTGCAGATTTAAACTGTTCCCATACCGATGAGCCTTGGCAGACCAGAAAGAGGCGGAGTAGCAATCTATGTTAGGATAATCTGAGTGTGAAATAAATAAGAAATAAAAACTGAGAGAATACAGAAACAATTTGGATAGAATTAGCGACCGTCGGGAAAATTAATCACAGGGGTAATATAGGCCCATCTTGATAAGCGTCAGCCCGGCGACTTATCTAGGATGAAATGCAGCAGGGCTTCCATACACAACAAAGTCTGTATAGTCGTGACTTTAACCTTGGCCAAATAGATTGGACTGTCATGCAATTAACTCAGAATCAGAGGATTTTCTCGAGGCGATCCAGGACTGTTTCCTGAATCAACATATAACCCGAACCCACCGCGGGGTAATAATATACTGGATTTAGTTCACAGCCGAACAGAGAAAACCTCATTAACCAATGTCGAGTGAGGAGCGAACGCAAAATAGCGATCACAAAAGAATTCGATTCAGTTAGATTTTCAGGGCAGTATGAGAAAATTCCACTAAAGTACCAGATTTCCAGAAGGCAAACTTTGACAGTTTAAAGGGCAGCTGAGAGAGGGGGTGTATCGGCGCTTGACGTGAACCTAACAGATGACACCGACCTGATGCGCGAGATCTGAGATTGCGAGTTCACGATAATTTAAATAGTGAGTTACTTAATGCGCAAAGGCAGAACATACCATACAAAAAACTCCGAATCCGAACCAACAATGACCTAAATGGATAAATAATTATTTAAAGAACGTCATTGGCCAAGGAGGCTGCAGGTGGGGAAAAGGATAAATGGTAGTGAAATTCCTCCGGCTATTATAGGGTATTGGCGGTAGAGTTAAAACCGAGATAAGGAAAGCAAGAGGAATAATAGAGTAAGGATAGCAAGAATGAACAAACCGAAGGATTCTACAAATATCAAACTAAAATACGAAAAGATTGGACCAATACGGTCAGACTCAGCGAGCTGACTGATATGACGGAGAAATGAGCAATAATTTTGAATCAAATATTTTCAACCAGTTTTCTACGAAAATCTAAACGCATTGAGGCTTTGACTCTATTCAGAGATAGTGAAAGCAAATTAAGTGAGATAAGTAGTGACTAGTACTTGATGTTAATGCAGCAAATAGACAAACCTAAAGCCTAATAAGTCCCCTGGTCCCGAGTAAGGATATTTGCCAGAGTATTAAAAGAAAGGAATGTAAGGAAGAGCTTAGTATGCCGCCAGCAAAGTTGTTTAACATGTCCTTAAAAACAGGTGTAGTACCAGAATCCTCGGAGGATAGCGAAATGTAATACCGATTTTTTCAAGAAGGGGATAGATCACTATCCTGCTACCGCCCAAACAAGTCTAACATCAATACATAGGCAAATTACCGATAATCGACAAACTCCTTGAAATCACCTGGAGAAGCACCGATTGATCAATGATTCTAGCATGAAAGCTTCCTGGCGGACGTTCTTGCTAACTAATCCGTAACATTCTTTCATCAGTTTCGAATCGGTGGGCCCGAGGGGCTGAGTATGATGTGGTATATCTGACTTGTGACCTTCGACAGAGTCCCCACGAAGACTAATTAGAAAGGTAAAGCTCATGGCATCAAAAGTGACGTCTTAAATGGATTAGGCGTGGTTACAGGACGGGAAACAGCCAGTGAGCGATACTTGACTTTAAGTCCCATTAGACAACGTCACAAGTGGAGTTCCCCAAGGCTCGGTACTGCCCGGACCATTATTGTTTATTATATACATAGCGACATAGATGTCGTATGAACCCAGCAACATAGAAATAATTTGCTGATGACACTAAAATAGGACGTGTTATCAAATCTAGCGGGGACCGGCAAAACTGGGAAGATCTAAACAAATTTTTCGAATGGTCTGAAAATGGCAGATGAAATTCAATGTCGACAAATGTAAAGTACTCAGTATAGAGATAAATAGGAAACCAGGATACTAGATGGAACAACGATGCCATAGAGAACTGACTAAGTAGAGAGATTTAGGAGTAATGATAAGTAGGAACCTTAAGCCAAGTAAACAATGTGTTTTTGCTCGTGAATAAGGCTAATAGCACTTGGGTTCATACAAAGGAGTGTTAGTTATAAGACTAATAGAGGTCATCCCTAAAAACTGGTATCTTTGGCGCCTTTTGTGAGACCACACCTGGATTACGCAGTTCAGTTCTGGTCACCGTATTACAGAATGGATATAGAATCCTTGGAAAGAATTCAGAGGAGAATGACAAGACTAATCCGGGGCATTAGGAACCTTGAGTATAGAGACAGGTTAAAGCATCTTAATTTGCACTCCCTCGAGAGACGTAGAGCGAGGGGCGACCTGATAGAGGTGTATAAGTGGAAGACAGGGCTAAACAAAGGGGACATTACAAAGGTACTCAAATTATCCAACCAGGAGCGAACTCGTAACAATGGTTTTAAATTAGA